AACATTTTTGTAAAAACGGAAGACCCATCTTGTGACATTCTGCTGAGCGAAGCGGAAAAAAAATTACTTGCATGTTGCGTGAGGGCCCGGCGGACTTTCATCGGCTGATAAGAAGGGATCCGGGCGTACTGTGGCTGACGAGGAAGCCTTTTTTTGGGGTGGTTTGCAAGCTAAACATGTTTGGTGGTCTGAGAAATGGTGGGCACACATGATGAGGTAATTGCACAACAGGCGACTAAAAGATGTGTAAGCTGTATAAGCTGTATAAGCTAATGATACCGTACGACAAATCAAACAAATAAAAGGCAAAAAACTTGTCCCAACATGGTAATTACCCAAGTGTGATACTCAGATTTTCTCTAAATTTTTTCAATACAGTTCTGGCATTGGCCACATACATAAACCTTCAGGAATTATCATCAGTTTGTCGATAAAATAATGAGCGCTAAAAATTTCATTTCCAGCCGATTTTGGCGTAAAAAATTTTGCGATTTTATACGAAAGGTCGATTAAAAATTCTGAAGTTTTAGTGTCAGTCTGTCGGGAAAATAATGAGCATTCTGTCGGATCGAAGATCGCATCGCCGCCGGGAAAATGAATTGTGTCGCAGCAAAGTCAAATTGCTTTTTAATTCAGCGATCGGCACAGCGATATTGTGGTCATTATTTTCCCGACAGGCCCATAATAACCTTTAAATTTCACCTCGCGCTTTGCAGAGACAAGTACATTTTCATTGCCCAAGCTATGAGTGATGTTTCACCCTTATAACCGACTGAAATATTCTCCATACAAGGTATTATAGATCTCTGAACATCTGTATTTTGAAATAAAAAATATTGTCCCACAAACCACATATTTTCGATCATTCGACGTGTTACTGAGTTTATTGTGCATCAATATTTTCGACGAAATCCTTGTGCCTTGACGTTTTTCGCCCCATCCTTCGTCGGAATGCAAATCCCGTTCCAGCCCCGATTTCTCGACGCTTCCGCGCTCTGTTTTGTGCACATGCTCCGCTGAACTCGAATGCGGTGCGGTTTTAAACGCTGCGCTAATCGCTCGCGTTTAATCGCTCTCAAGGCCGACCACTTGATTAGGGCGCCGGTTCGACGAATTCCCGGAGAGGTCGACGGATTCCAGGGCAATGAGTAATTAGTCAACATGAGCGAATCAAGGCTGCGAGACGGAGATACGCGTGACGTTGAAAAGTTGAATCGTTTGATGCAAGAATATGGGGTAAACGAGGGCATTGGAGATTTGGGATGATGTACGGCAGAGAGAACATTTTGAGGAGCAACTTGAACAGGACACGGGCGGAAATGTCATCAAAAAACGTAGCGAAAAGAGTCTTTCGGGTGGTAACCCCAAAAATTTTTGACATTCTTCAATTCGCTGCTTCTGTTACTCACGCACTTTTGCCTTCTTGATCAATCTCCCACTCTCCATCACTTAACCTTTCCCCCCTCCTCTCCTTCTGACTAATTGTCGTGCCATTGTTTCAGCCGTGCCTTCATAAAAACCGAATTTTCCCATGCGCTTTTTTCTCCAGAGTCACTCTCCCCTTTCGTCGGTTTACCGCAAAAAACAGCGACGCTGTCCCGGTCGCCCCACGTTTTTCTTGTCACGGAGCCAAAAAAGCCCCGGAATTTTTTAGTGTGTCGTTCCTTTCTTTCCGTTCGCCCCTGGTACCGGACGGTACGGCGGGGTTGCGAGACCAACAAAAAAAGAAGAAAACGAAAAGCGCGGAACGTCGGAGGGGAACGGTGGAGTGTGCCCGACGGTCGGGTTTAAGAGTGCGATCGGGGGACGACCAAGAAGTGGTCTGACTCGACGGAAATGCGCGCCCAAATCGCTAAGAATTTTCGGGGGCAGAGATTTTTGCGAGTTGCGAAGGATGAGAGCGAACGAAATGGAGTGTTTCGCGGCGATGGAGGTGATGCAACGGAGAGGTTAGAGGGCTGAGACGAGGGTAGAGGTCGTCAAAGATAGTGAACCGGCTGGAATTTTGAACTACGGGACTTTGCTGATATATGTCAGCAAATTTCCAAAAAATCACGATTTTGTTGTGGCACTGCTGCCAAAAGTTGGCCAAATGACTCTATTTGGCTGTCAAGGCTATGTACTTCAATTGCAGATGGTTTAAAGGTCAGCAAAGCTCCAGAACATGATGAAAAATCTAGTGAAAGATGGATATCTGTCAAAGGTTTGAGAGTTAATTTATTTTCTGCTATAAAAAATTTCATCAAGCCTTCAGCTACTCCCTACAGTACTGAAAACTTCCGTTTCCCATCCGCCCCTCGGATTGCAACATTCCCATCGGCTCTATTCTCCTTCTTCAGGTCATTCCGCGGTCCCCTTCGATCCCATGTGACCACACACACAAGTGCGCAAACAGGATTACAAAACGAAACGAGCAAAGTTTTTTCGGCGTTTGACTCGAAACGACCTTTTCCACCACCTGGCCATGAGCGTGCTGCACCGTGCCAGCGTGTTTCGTGGCGAGTGCGCGATCGCTTTCCTCGAAACCTTTTTGTGTCCGGTTTGTTTTTCCACGTTCTTCGGCGGAAATGATCGAAGGCAATAAATCAACGGGCCGACTTGCAATTCCGCTTCTTCGAACGGGGGCACGGAGTTCGGATGGCGCCAAATTTAGGGACGGTTTATCAGGGCGATGATAGATGTGGGGAGGATGATGGATGCGGCTATTATAGGGGAAAACAGCAGAGATAAAGACAATAACTCATTGTCAAAACAGGGTACTCAGTTGATGTGCTAAAGAGCGAAGAATAGCTGCTCGTTAAGTAGCATTTGATATCAGCAACATAACAGAAGAGCATGATAAACTTGTTGGTCTGTAAGTGCACCCAAAAGAAGTAGTGTTGAACATGCAACACATCCAACAACGACAGCAATAAGATGACTTATAGATTGTCGTTTTCAATCCAATGATTGTAAGAGACAATTTTCCAAGCATTTTAAATTTTGAAAATTGGAGAAATTACTGTTCGCCACAATTGTCCAATTGGCTGGATAAGTTTTCAGGCAAAGGATTAAAGATTCTTTGCGTTTTTTGTAAGCGTTTTAACGAAGCCACAAGACTTCCTGAATGTCCTGGAGCGTAATCGACTCATTTTTTTGCCAGGTAAATTGTTAATTGACAACCCTCGCAAAAGTTCTTTTTGTAGTCGCTTTCAACTATCCATACCTTGAACTGACCTTAGTGGTATCTGAGGTTGCTACAGCTACTTTTTAAATTCCGCCTTTGACAAAATGCCCAGAAAATCATTTGCCTACTGTAATAAGGAAATAATTAACAATAAGAGAAATACGGTGACATTCAACATTTATACTAGAAATATTTCACTATTTTTTCAATCTTTCCGACCTTCAGATGTATACTGGTTGACAAAATTTTCTTTCCACCTCGTATCTCTGGAACGGCTGGGCCTAGAACCTCCAAATTCGGCATAGAAACATCCTAGGACAATGGGACACCATGCCCAAAAAATCATATCATTTGATGCACTTTCAATGCACTTTTTATGCAAAAGGCAAAAAACCGGATGACAAAATTTTCTTTCCACCTTAGAAAAAACGTTTGTAACGCATAAGCCAGAGGGTGTTAAGGCATGATTGTGGTATCGTTGTGATTGCGAAGAACTGGTCTCTCGATTGGTGTCACAACTTTACAGGGGTTTTCGTTTCTTCGCCCTTGGGCGTCGGCTCATCATTGCCTTGTCCATTTTCTGCCAAATTCATGGCCAGAGGAGCTCGCATAAAGCATAAGGAGATGAAAATGCCTTTAAAAAATTTGGCACTCATGGTTGCAACATTGTTTACTCCGGCAGTAGAATTAGATTTCATTTAAGTGCGCTGCAGGGAAAAATGCGCCCTACCAGGGCCCGCAAACCCGATATATCACTTCTGTACAGAATGGAAACGTCCAAATTACATCCATTTGCTATACATACGGCGTATTTTAGGGCTTATACGACAGCATGTGTTGAAGTTTACCAGCTTATCTTACCCCCCTCTGGTCTATGTCGTCTGCAGTACCGCAGGTTGGTGCACTAGGCATTGGTATTACTTAAGCTTGGTATATTGGGACTTTTGGCTTTCAGACTATTTTAATACATTGACATTGATAGGCCTTCAACGTTTTTTCCACGACGAATAGCTTGCGCAGAAGGCTTAGAGTTACAAATTTTGCAAATGGGACATGTGGAACCTTTCTTCTGCTCACACCTAAGCGCGACATCAGAGACTAAAATCGTCACTATTTTTTAAGTCTGTAGTTTCATAGAAAATATATAAGCAGGAAAAGTTACTTGAATTATCTGCAGTGTTCCCATAATAACTTAATTTTTTGGTAACGAGGACCCTGGAAGCGCGCATTTTCCCCTGAAGCGCATTAAATTAAATCTAATTCTACTGCCGGAGTAAACAATGTTGCAACCATGAATGCCAAATTTTTTAAAGGCATTTTCATCTCCTTATGCTTTATGCGAGCTCCTCTGGCCATGAATTTGGCAGAAAATGGACAAGGCAATGATGAGCCGACGCCCAAGGGCGAAGAAACGAAAACCCCTGTAAAGTTGTGACACCAATCGAGAGAGCAGTTCTTCGCAATCACAACGATACCACAATCATGCCTTAACACCCTCTGGCTTATGCGTTACAAACGTTTTTTCTAAGGTGGAAAGAAAATTTTGTCATCCGGTTTTTTGCCTTTTGCATAAAAAGTGCATTGAAAGTGCATCAAATGATATGATTTTTTGGGCATGGTGTTCCATTGTCCTAGGATGTTTCTATGCCGAATTTGGAGGTTCTAGGCCCAGCCGTTCCAGAGATACGAGGTGGAAAGAAAATTTTGTCAACCAGTATAAGTGGTTGACAAAATTTATAGCTGTGCTTGAAAATAGAGAAAATTGTGTACCTCAGCTTCAATTCAATATGTGTAAATTTTATTGTTACTCTATGTGCATAATGAATATCGTCTGTCAGTCACGTGTTTGCGTGGTCTGAGTAGTCGCCGGCCTCACAATGTTCGAATTTGTGCTGGAGACGTTGAAAAATCGCTGCACCGAGAAGATCCTCAACATGTGTCGGCGGTAGGGCTTGACAATGATAATCGTTGCCAGTGGATTCACCAGCGGTATCCAATTGAAAACTCCGTAAATTACGAATCCGATTTGTCCAACTTCGAAATTCAACAGCATTGTACCCACATTCAGCAATGCAGGTCCAATGGAGGTGAGGATTGGAAGCGCTCCCTGTGGATATGTTTTGTAAAAACTATATATATCTACCTGCATAACCATGATCCTGGCCAACTGCCGTTGGACGGAGAGGGCTTTCGCGTCGAACGATTGCTTACGCTCTTTTATGTGAAAGAATGTTCGTCGAGCCAGTAGAATGGAAGCTGCGTAGATGACGACGAAGAGTATGGCGGCAAAAAGAAAATACATTCGGCAAAAGGGGTCAGTCTGAATAATGGAAGCATTATGCCTACTTATGATTAGGTCTTATGATGAGGTCTATAAAGCGCTTTAAAGAGAACCTGGTTTAATGGGGAAACGTTCAAAATAAAAGCTCAAATTTTAAAGCAAATATGGCTTGAAATCAGGCCAATATTTTATTAGCCACTAGCGAGATTTCTGACCGGCGGTTTGCAGAAACATCCGAGATTTTTACTCTACAGTCACGCCACAATTTGGGATTTCTTTTCAAGTTCATGAAAAGCAATTTCAGACAATATTTCTGCCGGTAAGAGAAACGTTTTCTAGAAAAGATCAATTTTTTACTATATCGTACTCTATCGGCTCCAAAAAACGCTTAATTTCTCGGGCATCCCTGTAAAGCGCAGCCTTAAATCTCAGCAACTGGCATGTGGACTAGGCCCAGAAAAAGTGAGACTGGCTAGTCTTTAACACTTACCATTTTGGTATACATAATGATACCTCTATTGTCTTGACTAATGCATGACGAGCTCTGAAATCTACCGTCTTCGTTCCACGATACTGTAAATCCAACCCAAGTTGCCATGAAAGCGGCTACAAAGCAGGCTAGACCAAATGCAGAGACAGTTGTTCGAAGACGCAACTCGGATCTGAAATTAGTGTTTTCTTCACAAAACATTCAGCCCTTTGCTATCGCTTTCATTCCTACCGTTTTATCAGCACGTATCGGCAATAGCAGTTCATTGGCAACATAAGGATCACTAAAATGCCTCCATACACAAAAAGCAGAGCTAAATTCCGTTGCGTGGATGGGCTGTACTTCCCATTGAAGGGTTTAACAGCTCGCACGACGATCAATTCTGTTCCTTCGGTGACATCCATCGACTGAAACGGCCAGAAAATCAAACCCATTTATGCTGACGTACCATATGGACATACGAGCTGATCAGCCAGCACTGGATGTCGGCCAAAGAGCAGAAAAAGAGAATCAGCCGGAATTCAGCGAGCACTCGTTGGTTGGTAAAGACAGTTAGATATAGTAGTGTCAAGCAGATGACTCCTCCGAAAACAGTGACTATCCGATGCCCCCAGTCGTCGACTCGAAGCCAGAATTCACACGAAATCTCCGACATTCGGCTCCAGGCGTCACAGCGCACGTAACAAATCTATTGTTTACCTGTTTAGTCATCAGCTTTAGCATTTTATACCTCAACCTGCAGCTCTTAAATATGCCAAGATTATCCAAAAAATAATGACTATAGGGACCCTGCTAATGTGTCTAAAACAATATTGACATTTACAATGCCACGAGCTTTTGGTAATTGCAGACGCAGACAAAGGAATTGTTTGGTGTAGGGAAAATATATTAGACAATTTTTCACCTTGTAATAATAGAATTGGATTCAAATTGGCTCAAAATTAAAGCATAATATTTCGATTTTTGCTTTGCAAATACCAGGATCAATTGTATACTAGTAGAGTGAGAAACAATTCTATTAGTCTGTAGGGAAAATAATGACCACTCTGCCACATGGGAAATCGCATCGCCGCGGAGAAAATATATCGTGTCGCAGCAAAAACCAAATTGCTTTTCCCTTCAGCGACGCGATCGGCGCAGCGAAATTGTGTTCATTATTTTCCCGACAGACTGATAGTACAAAATGTTGAATAATTTGGTTTTAGATGATAAGTGTGGGCCAAGACTTTTGGGGCTAATTGTCGCTAGTTAAGAACTTGAGCCAACAACTTTAGGCTTCTGTAAGCCCAGGATTCTTGTTTTTTGAGAAAATTTTACAAAAGATCTTTGAAAATTTATTTCGGCGATGCCAGGAATTATCTCACAGATTGAAGCGAATGATCAAACGTGATAGGTAGAGGATAGACACAAGATTAGGAATAAGGTTTATTGAACCACCACACACAAAGAAAGAGAAGGAGATAATGTTCATAATAATTGGTGACGAGACGTTGCTTTTATATGAGTTGGTTTATGCTAATTTCTGTGGGAATTGTGGAGACTTTGACGCTCCACAACACAGATTCAAACTTTACAACAAATTAATTTTGCGTTTTACTGACAAAGCTAACTACACGAGTTACTGAGTAGGAACCTCCGGTGGAACTGGAAACGCTGAACAGTTTCTTCGCCCCAAACATCCGCAATAGATGCTTTCTGTACGGCTTGATGATGATGATTGTAGCCAACGGATTTGCAAACGGAATCCAACTGACAAGTCCGTAGACTGTCATTCCGAAGTTTCCAGCTTCCACTTTGAGCAGCATTGTCACTGCGTTCATGATTCCCGGGCCAACCGAGGTCAGAATAGGGACAATGGCCTTAAAAAATCGTTTTAAATTTTTTATCTTATGGTCAATGACTCCTCAGTATCTGATGTTGTGCTTAGTAGCAAATTTGTTATAAAAGCCTTGAAATCCAGCAATTTTCGCGACAAATATGTACAAAAAATCCCGAAAATCAATCGTTCTGTCCAAAGTAGGTATAATTTAGAAGCCTTAGAATTTTGTGTTGCATAAGATGAAGCCAATCTCCTCACAACTTTTTTCATACCTGCACAATCATGATCCTTGTCAGCTGTTGCTGAAGTGAAAGAGCTTTCGAACTATAAGACCGTCTCCTTTGTTTGATGTAGAACAAGGTTTGGCGAGCCCAGTAAATCGAAGCCACATAGACGGTGGCGTAGCAAATCAAGATGGACAGAAAACAGAGTTTAGTGAAGAGGTCGTCCTGAAATGCCGGGCAAATTAGCAATTCGCACAGGTTAAAAAACAGGTCCGAAATCGAGATCCCTCTGTTCGTCATTCACAAAAAAGAATGTTAGTAAACCGATACGGACATGAAATTATAAGGCCTAGGAGAGAAAACCACGTAGAATTTAACAGTATGAAAATAATTTTGCTGCACTTAAAAATTTTCGCGTCAGGACCCAATGAAGAAGTTTCCATTTTTTGCTGTACATGCATTGTCACCTTTTCGAAATTTTCACACATTAATCCTGAGCGCTTTCTTTGACAACACTCTCCTTTATGTCGTCAGCAAAATAAGTTAAATAAGCTTACCACAGCAGCCCTCAAAATCAGCCGATTACTCCGGATAAGGCACGAGCCGTAAAGTCGGCCATTGCCGTCCCATGTGAACGCAAGACCGGCCCAAGTGGCTAACAAACCAGCTAGCATGCAAGCAACCCCGAATACTAGGAATGTTTTGGACGGACGAAGCGGTCGAGATCTGAAACACCGATATCAAAAGAAAGCCGACAGTTTAGCCTGTTCTTATCGCACTCTGCTTACGTCATTATCAGCACATGCCGGCAATAGCAGTTCATTGGCAACATAAATACCACCAACACGACACTGTGCGCAAAAACGATTATAAAGATTTGCTGAGCCTGTGGACTGTACAGGCCGCCAAGGCCTTCTAACACCACCAATAGTGTTCCTTGTGTAACATCGCCGGACTGAAACAAATTTTACATTATTTTTTTCACATATATGCCGAGAATACGTAACATATCAATTCCTAAAAATGTTAGCTCACGCATTGCCAGCTCGGCTGAGATATTCAGCGATCTTTGCGACCGAGAGAGTACGCAAAAACGGAGTGCGGTCAGAGATAAATGCCGAAACATTGCTCTACCGTAGAAATATGGATATACAGTGGGTGACCTGACCCAGTGGCAAAAATATACCATTTTTCATCCGGGAAGTGTCCAAAATGCGGCAAAATGCTTCCCTCTCCAAGTCAAAAAACCGATTTCACAACCGATGTCAAAAGCGCGCCCGCTCTTTTTGTGAGGGAAAGGAGCCTTCAAAACAAATTTTTTTCACTTGGAGAGGGAAGCATTTTGCCACACTTTTGATACTTCACGGATATAAAGTGGTACGTTTTTTGCCACTGGATCAGGTCCCCCACTGTACATTTTTGTGTCCAAATCGGCCAAAAAACGTCGCATTTTTTTGCCGACTTTCGATCTAAACATCTTGGTTGTTTCTTCAAAGATCGAGTTAGGAGTTGAGCATACATTTAAGCAAAAAAATTATTCTAAACTTATGTCAAGTTTTTTTTCAAAATCTGAGCGTCCCAGTTGGCGCACTTCCTATGTTTCCGGAAAGCAACATACGATAGAGATAGAGACCCCGTGTTGGAAGTTCTACCGCCCTATTATCTTGGGACTTCCTCTTACAACAGTTACATTACCATCAACTTACCAACTGCACCCACGAACTAATCAGCCAGCAATAGATGTCGGCCACGCAACAGAAAAATAAAATCAGCCGAAAGTCGGCGAGCGCTCGTTTGTTGGTGAATACGACCAGATAGAACAATAGTACGCAGACAATTCCCCCGAAAATTGAGGCTGCCCAATGACAGCGGTGTCCAAAATCCAGCCAAAATTGACACGAGAACTTGGGCCAGTGCATGTCGCCAAAATCGCTTCAGCCAGCGATTTTGGCCAAAAAATATCCCGTTTTCGACAACTTTGACGGGAAAAATCTGCTTCTGCAAGCTAGAGATCTCGCAAATTTTAGAAAAAAATTGGAATTTTTAGCTTGTGCCCAGTTTTATCCAAATCTGAGCGCCGCACTTCACCCGCTGGTCCGTCTGGATTAAGCTATTCTTAAATAGCGTCGCCAATCTTTAAGAGTGAGTTCAAAATTGTACGACCCTTAATAAACAAATTGCAGCAATTACGTCTCGGGAACTTGCTAAGTAGAATATGAATTATTCTCAATGACAAAATAACAAAAGAAATTACAGCACTTTTGCGGATCTTGGTCATGCTCTTGCAAGGACAATCCAGCATTTTTTTGATGGACTTGCACTTTTAGGAAACATGGTTTGGTAATGAATTAAAAAAAATTTTTATTCTACCGAACAATCTGAAAAGAAATGTAACACCGTATCCAACATATTATACAAGCCGTTAAATTGTGTCAAAAACCTTTTCAGAGCAACTTCTAACGGTTAATCATCCTCTCTAATCGAATTTTGACATTTCTCCTCAATAAATCAATAGTGACATTTCGTCCACTTTAATTTTCCCAAAAATTCTTTTTTTGGAATGAAAATGACATTTTACATCATTTTTGTCGGGTTTCCCATAATTTATGCGCAAGATATTCCCGGTTTGGATAAAAACGTGTGATTTTCAGACCAGGATGGCCAAAAACGACTTGGAATGGCTGGGTTTGCCCCCAAACAAGGTCGAAGAGACGTTGACCAACAAGAAGTTTACCGAAAACTTGGTAAAAATTGTTGGTCTTGCTAGGCCATACAACTTGGGTGAGGAGAAAGTCAATGAGAAGTATATTGTGAGTATTTTTAAGCTTTTTTCTTTTTTGGTTTAGGTCTTGGCAGACATGAGAAAAACGGTGTTTTCTTTTTGATCTTGGCCTAAAGGTGATAGCTCTTCTGCTAAGATGTGAGCTGAAGCTTTTACTAAGTGGATTCAATCAGTCTTTTGACCGAATCTTGCCTAATTGTTTTGATTTGCCTGATTATATTACAATTGACCCATTAAACTTTTTTCAGGGCAATTTCTTCTACACTCTTGGATCAAAATTGAAGCCACAATGGGAGAAGCACCTGCCGATCATTGTCAAGTACATTGCTAACGGTGGGATTAAGACTGAGCCCCAGTTTGCTGCTGCTGTTGACTTTTTGCTGCACAATGCGGTCAAGGACTCTGTTGATGAAGAAGAGTTCAAGAAGGCTTCTGGAGTTGGTGTTGTCTATACTGTGGAGCAAATAGAAGACACTGTGAGCATTTAGAGAAAATTTTTTGGTATAAAAGTGTATTTTAGGTCAGAGCTGTGATTGAGAAGAACAAGGAGAACTTGCTTTCTCAAAGATACTCCTTCAATGTCGGAAAACTGCTGGGTATGTTAATTTTGCATTGTCTTTTCAATCACTAGGTGAACTAAGAGGTCAATTGAAGTTTGCGGACAGTGGGTTAGTCAAAAAGGAGTTGGATCTTCAAGTATTTGAGCTTCTGGGAAACAAGACAGCTGATGAGTTGGCTCCAAAACCCAAGAAGAAGGCCGAGAAGGCTCCAGCTAAGCCTGACAAGGCAGTTGAAAGTAAAGCAAAGGCTGTTGATAAGCCAGCCGTCAAGAAGGAGGAGGAGGAAGGTGCTGAAACGATGGAAGAACTCTTGAAGAAGAAGGCGTTGTTCCATAAAGTTGGGGAGAATTTCAAGACTGATGGTTATGTTGTGACTCCAAAAACGATGGGATTGCTGAAGGAGCATGTAAGGAGAGTTGGTGGCAAAGTCCACACTCGTTTCCCTCCAGAGCCTAATGGAATTTTGCATATTGGGCATGCCAAGGCCATCAATATCAACTTTGGATATGCTAAGGTAAGAGTTTTAACTTTTTTGTGGTTTTCCTATTTAGGAAGTCGGAATGGACGTCTAAGATGTTGGATATAGCCCTTTTAGGCCAATTATAATGTATTTGATTCTAACATTATATTGGTTTAGGCCCATGGAGGCAACTGTTATCTCCGCTTTGACGATACCAACCCAGAAAAGGAAGAAGAAAAGTATTTCACCGCAATCGAAGAAGCCGTTAGATGGTTGGGTTATGCCCCATTCAAAATTACTCATTCTTCGGATTACTTTGATCAACTTTATGAATGGGCGGAGAAGCTGATCCAGAAAGGCTTGGCGTATGTTTGCCATCAAAGAGTCGAAGATATCCGAGGATTTGAAGTCAAAGAGAGCCCATGGAGAAACAGGAGTGTGGAGGAGAACTTGGCGCTGTTTAGAGTGAGTTTAATATGTTTGTTTTTTGATTTTTCACCTTTAGGATATGAAACATGGCAAGTTTGACGAAGGAACCGCCACTCTTCGACTGAAATTGACCTTGGAAGAGGGAAAAGTGGACCCAGTGGCGTATCGAATCAAGTTCCTTCCCCATCACAGAACCGGAAACAAGTGGTGCATCTATCCGACATATGATTACACCCATTGTCTATGTGATTCGATCGAGAATATTACTCATTCTTTGTGCACGAAAGAGTTCCAATCAAGGAGAAGCAGTTATTATTGGCTCTGCAATGCGTTGGACATCTATTGCCCGGTTCAGACCGAGTTCAGCAGGTTGAATTTCGGATATACGGTGGTCTCGAAGAGAAAGCTGCTGCAGTTGGTGGACAACGGAGTTGTTAAGTGAGTTTGTAGAGATTTTTTTCTTTTTGTGGCTTTTAGAATGATGGGAAATGCTGAAGAAGGGTTTATCCGGTATTTTCAGCGACTGGGATGACCCACGACTCTTCACTCTGACCGCCCTACGACGTCGCGGAATCCCACCCGAAGCGGTCAACAAATTTGTCGCCAAACTTGGCCTCACTTTTGCCGAAAGTTGTGTGGACCCACCGCTGTTGGACGCCGTTGTAAGAGACCACCTCAATCAGATTGCTCCACGAAGAATGGGCGTCCTAGAACCACTCAAAGTCACCATCCAAAACTTTGACGAACTCAATCTCCCATCAACTTTGACCGCCCCCGATTTCCCCGGAGAGGAAAAGTCGAGCACGCATGAAATCTCGGTGGACAGAGTGATTTACATCGAACAGAGTGATTATCGACCGGAAGCAGACAAGCAGTACAGAAGATTGACCAAGAAACAGACGGTGGGATTGAAACATCTGGGTCTGATTTTGAGTTATGTCAGCGGAGATGAGAAGGGTCTGGTGGTGAAGGCGGAGAAGACCAGTGAGCAGAACAAGGCTAAAGCTTACATTCATTGGGTGGCAAAGCCGGTGGAGATTGAAACCAGACTCTATGAGAGATTGTAAGTTCATTTTGAGATGTGTGGATATTGGTTTAGGTCGGCGAACACTGATTTGATAATTTGACAGTTTTTGGGAAGATTGAAGGGAGTTTTTGGTCTTTTTGCGACTGACTTTTTGAGCCACAATATTTTTTGAGTGTAGATTGAGAAAATTCGGGATTTTTTTTTGACCCTTCAAGCTTCTTTTTTTGGTTGTCCAGAAAGTTCGTTCGTTTTTTTCATTGCTTTGTTTTACGAAGATTGTTTGTTGTTTGGCAAAGGGTTTATATTTATTTGATACAGCCAGTTTTGTAGAGGAGAAAAAGCTGTATCAAATAATTATATTTTATATTCCCTTTGCCAAAGAACAAACAATCCTTGTAAAACAAAGCAATGAAAAAACGAACGAACTTTGTGGACGACCTACAGTGAGGGACCTGATCCAATGGCAAAAAACGTCTCATTTTGCATCCCGAAAGGGACCAAAATGACTCCAAACCCTTCCCTTCTCTATGCTAAAAAGCTCCGCTTTGAAAAGCGCGCCCTTTCCTTCAAGGCGGGCTCTTCAAAGCGGGGTTTTTTAGCTTAGAGAAGAGAAGGGTTTGGAGACATTCTGGTCCCTTCCGGGATGCAAAATGGTACGTTTTTTGCGACTGGATCAGGTCTCCCACTGTAATATTAGAAATAATAGCGCTGGGTTTTAGACCAGTTATAAAAAATTTTCTTTTTTTGATTCAATTTTCTTCCAGATTCAAACATCGCAACCCCTCGGACAAAACCGAAGTCCCCGGCGGATTCCTCAGCGACATTGCCGACAACACCCTCACCATCTACCACAACTCTGTGATCGACCAAAAAGTCGCCCAGTCCGTCACGAAGGACACTCGTTTCCAGTTCGAACGTGTCGGATACTTTGCCCTGGACCCTGACACAACTCCAAATCATCAAGTCTGGAACCGGATTGTCCCATTGAAGGAAGACAGTGGAAAAAATTGAAAGTCTGGTGTTAAATTAGACCTAAAGTAATGTCGGTTGATTGGACTTTGCATTGAGTTTTGATTGGAATATACGGTGTTTTGTTAATTTGTTAAGCGTTCTTTTTTACAGTTTTCCATATTAAAGTTGTTAATAATTTAATGATTTTTGTCTTATGATCGAAATGGTTTTCATCCACTACTTTGTTAAGATATTTACTCAATTTTGAAACAAACAATTTTTGTAATAATTTTTTTTGGTATAAGAAATTGCGAAAAGAGCCAACAGTTTCAGCGTGTTTATGGTCGCAAAATCGTCTCGCAAATGAAAAAAAAAAATTTAACGGAAACCACAAGTTTGAGGGTCCAATGGCAATAAAGGGCCAATGGCCAAAAGAAAATAAGCCTTTGGCGATTCGAAAACAGTCGCACGGCGTGAGAAATGCTTCGGGCAACAAGCAACAGGCTTCAAGCGCCACATGCAACGACTATAACCGCAAGAAATGACAACAAATTAAAAGAACGGGCCCAATCTCCGGGCACAATGTATATCGTGGACATATTTCAACAAAAATTTTATACAACGGGTTTTGTGAATATTGATTATCAGGGGCCGTCGGCGAATATTTTTGAGAATATCCGCCGGAGAACTGGGCGGGATTTTGTAATCTACACTCAAATAAATGACGTACATACAACAACAAGACCAAATAAAATATACTTTTCATGGACTGGTTTCCCAATCAGAAAGTGAAATGGGTAGGAATCTGCACATCCGTGGGGGTGAAGAGAAACAAATATTCGACTTAGATATGGAATTACAACTCAAAACTACGGTAACACGAATCCGAACAAAGCGGGGGGTTTTTATGGAGGGAATTTTTGTGATTTTTCTTTACAAGCGGGCTTTTGGATACGAGTATTTTTGGGCATTACAACCGACGACTCCTTAGACTTGAACACTGCGACGACGACGCTCCAACAGCACGCACTGAACCGGCGAAAAGTAGCAGTTCTTGAAGGTGTTCACCGCACGCGCTTGCACTCGATGAATGTTGCGTTTGGCGGCCGCGTTGAACACCTCATTGGGCGGGTTTTGGACGAAATATGCGAGAGGGTCTTGGCTCTCTTGTGCTACCATTCCGTAGAGCCTGGAAAAGTTTAGATTAGATCTGGGGGTTAAGTTATATATGATTACAGTGGCGGTCCTGATCCATTGGCCAAAAACGTTCCATTTTGCATCCCGGAAGTATCAAAAATGCAGCAAAATACTTCCCTCTCCAAGTGAAAAAACTCCGATTCGCGCCCACTCTTTTTGTGGGAGATAGGGCGCTCCCTTCAAAACGAAGTTTTTTCACTTGGAGTGGGAGGCATTTTGCCACATTTTTGATACTTCCCGGATGCAAAATGATACCTTTTTTTGCCACTGGATCAAGTCCCTCACTGAAAAGATAAAGGATTTTGGGAATTTGCATACGAAAAGGGTTAATTTCACTATTTCGTTTCATTTTCCATATTGTACTTGTCCTCTGCGTCATCCTATTACCCAGACGTATCACTCTCCGCATTTCGTTTTTGTACAGCCTACGTATATAGATGACAGAATCATTACCCACTCATGTCTAGTGCACTAACTCGTCATCGACCTCGCAGTAACTATAGATCCACCCACGAGAAGGGTATTATCTCCGGGTGTGACAATTTTGGACCTTTTTTGTTTCAAAAATTTCGGGTTGACCGGATTATAAATGTCGTTCTACTTTTTAATAGTGTGCCAGAGATTAAAGGAGGCATTTGCATGGGAAGTTATGAATTCTGAGGAAATTTGGGAAGGCTGTTTGATTTATGATCATTAAAATGAGTAATAAGAGTGGCTTGTATCTTTGAACTTGTGACTAGAGGAAGCAAAGTGTTCTAGCTGTATGATTTTAAGGGACCCCTTGAAAGTCATAGCTGTCTTTTCTTCCGAAATTGTCTTTTCTATCGAAATAGACTTCAAAAACATTTTGCTGACAGCGCTGTAAAGAGTTTTACCGAATAAAAAAATGTTTAGGCCGTAACTATTTTTTTTGAAGTCCTCGATAATCGAGGGGCCGGAAGTAAATTTCATAATCGAGTGTTTTTTACAAGTTGTTTTGGAATTTTTTATAAATCCTTGGGTCTTTAATTAGGACACATCGGATTAACATGATGACTAGTCGAGTCACACTTTTTTCAATTAAAATTAAATGAATGGATAACAAACAACTCAAGGCAGAAGTGATATGATAAAGTGGCTGCTTTAGATTGCCTTTTGGCTACTTTTAAATTGCGTATTTACGGCTTGGCAAACAAAATAAAAACCCGATATTTTAGCGTTGGCGCAAGAAGCTTACAGGGGAAGTACTTCAAGTGTGACGCTCAGATTTTCTTTAAAATTTGCACACACGTCGGGTATGGACTAAATATCAATTCCTGAAAGTTTTAGCTCGCGCTTTGCGGGCGCCGCCGAGATATCGAACGATTTTTGCCGCCGAGAGAGCACGCTCAACGTGGAGAGCGGTCAGAGAGAAAACCGTTTTTTGGCCATAACTTTGGCAGTTTCGTGCGGAAAAATTTGATTTTTTGTAGAAACATTATCCTTTACAGTTGAAATAGGCATGAAACTTTTCGTGCCGAAATTCGGCAAAAAGCCCTAAAATTTCGCCGACTTTCGATCTAAAAATCTCGGTTGTTTCTGCAAAGCGCGAGCTAGGATTCCCGCATATATCTTAGAAAAAATTATTCTAAATTTGTGTCAAGTTTCATCAAAATCTGAGCGTCACACTTCAAGTACTTCCCTTGTTAGTTCGAGCACTGCGGTTAAGTTAAGGCTCAAGTTTAAAACGAAAAATTCAGCGACATTACCGTAGTACTCTACTTTCGGCTTGTTTGTCATCCATTACTTCTAATTTTAACTAATTAACGATAATTGTTTACCCGACTAGCCCACTAATCCGCATTGTATTAGCTACATACCTCGGGATTTAAAAACATTCTTAGCAATTGGCAAGACACACTTTATACGTAAATTTGCACTCAGCCCTCCGGCGAACTAGATATTGCAAAAAGTAGTTCATCTTATCAAATTTTGTGACGCACGTACCGAGCGTACTAATGGTCGCTGCTTGAAAAGCCAACTCATGTGAACAGTATAATCGCTGTAAACTTACTTTCGAGGGTACTCGTTGCGCACGGGATAACTGGGTTTGAAAAATCGGCTGTTGCTAAAAAATCTCACAATAAATTACGGTAACATAAGTGTTGTGAATAAAAGTTTTTCTATTTTTACACACTGCACAACCCAAAACGTGAGGCACTTCAAACCGCACGTGTTTGAAAATACTTTGGTCACGGATACAATCGCCAAATTTAGATGGGGTAATTGGAACTTGACGCTTCACTATGACCATCTAAATTCTAGTTTAGCTGGCTAATGAGAGGATAATGTAGCCCATTTTGTAATGGATTGAAATATCCTGGGACATTTTGGACGGTATGACATTACGGTTAGTTGAGCATTTAAACATCGCATACAAAATGCAAAATTGTTGGGAAATTTTTAAATTTTGCGGAAAATTTTGAAGGTGGCAATATTTTTAGAGAGTTTAGTGACTACTATTTTTTCTCGGTAGAACGAAGACTTCTGGATCAAAGTTTCAGTCGCTTATAAATGCCTTCATTTGGAAGGTCCTTATTTTTGATTGCAAGTGCAGCTGAGGTGCCATTCTTGTCTTATAAGGCCCTAACTATACGAAGGGTTGTGGATAACGTATAAATGTCAGTCTGTCAGGAAAATAATGTGGATTTGTCGCGCCTTGGAATCGCCGATCATCGCTTTGCGAGGGCAATTCTTTTGCTGCGACAAGTCAACATTATTTTCCCGACAGACTGATATTACCCCAGTTTTTTCGTTGCCCACACACCCAAACTTACTCTTGTCCGAGAACAGCGACGATTGAAACGACGAAGGCAAGGATACAGAAAGCGGCACGCATCATTGGACTGACTAGTGGATTAAACCTCTGAAAATGTAATGATATAAAATAAAAAAAATCTCGGTCTCGATACACGCTTGTATTAGCCATAGACAACCGAAACACATACGTTTTCAAACCCGTGAAACAGAAGATTTATGCACTATCTACGTAGAGATGATGAACGGGCCAGAGAAATGTGTTTACCTAATGCTTGTATCGCGATGATTTGTAGGCACGGTAATTAGAGGCGAGAGGGTGAAAGGGGCGGCGGACTGTACGGAAAACGAAATGTGGGAGAATTGGGAGGTAATAGAATTGAGATAGGCACTATTGTAATATACTACTTAACCTAGTTTTGACCTCTGTAATGCGCAAGAATGGTAAGAAAATGCCAGGATTTCACGTTCATTTCCTTACAAGAGCGCGAACGTGCAAAAAGAATTTTACAGGATCGAAATTCTATCCGAATTTGTCGACGCAATGCTAACGTACATGGTCTTGGGAATGTATGGGACGCGAGTGTGCGAAATTTGAATACCTGAGAGCTTGAAAAGTGTTCTTGTTTCAAACCACTCACCAAAGCAGCGACAAATATGAATACAACTAGTGAACGGTTTAGACGAAGTGTTAAGTCTCGTTCTAAGTCACTTACTAATGCAAATATAATACGAGTGCAATTGTTGCGAGGGTTTGCCACTTTTATATCGAATGTTCTATCATCCCAAGCGGAAACGCCGGCCTTTTTATTGACCCCTCAAATTCTTTGGTAGAGTTGAGGAGCTTTCTAATCCGACTTTTTCTCACCGAGATCTTCCCCCAAACCAGATTAGCGTTTATTTGCAATTTTTGCTACTCAAAAATTCCGAGAAAAAACACTTATGGCGACGGACGTAACGCATCCCACTTCATTAGTTAAGCGGGAGAAAAGCTTTAGCTACCATAACCGTATGACCGACCCCAAAGTAATAAAACGGAATATGGCGAGCGCAAGTAGGCGAGGTTAATGCCAAGACGTCTCAGAGTGGGAAGATGTACATCTCAGACGTTGTAATTGAAAAGAGGGCGGAGTCCGCGGGAATGATTAGTATTCGACGAAAGAGAAGAGTACGGTACTGAAAGGAGAAAGAGACATGTTTATTGGTAAATTACGTCGCTTGCATTGGGACATTTATGGACTTTGAGGACTGTTGTATCATATAGTATCTGTAGTAAACAGCGTTTTTGCACAAAACCAAGGTTAATCGCGTGCTTAGCCTTGCTTAGCTGCGCATACATGAGATTGTATGCACTACCGGGCTTAGCTTGCTGTGCAGGATACATCACAGACAACAGATTACAAAATTCCGCTGCATATAGAAACCCTGTTTTCCAGGATATATGTAAATAACTTAAAATAATCCTTCCAAATCCCAATTTCTTACAGTTTTAATGAATTTGACGGATTATGCCAAAAGGTGACCAAAGCTCTGGCTTGTTAGAAGGACATTTTAAGCAGGACGGAAGTAAGGAATGTTTGAAAATAGTCTGAGTAGTAGTGTTAGCTGTTTTGAGTCATTGAATTACCCGAAATTCCTCGAGCTTTGTCTACATCCATTGGGCAGCACTTCTAAAGGGTACAATAGGAATTTGCAGGGGGTAAAGGATCCATATCCTAAGAAATTACACTGTCTTTTTGTCAAGGAAATAATGAACACAATGTCGCTGCGCCGACCGCCACACAATTCGTCGGCAATGCGATTTTGGATGCGACAGAGTGCTTATTATTTTCTCGACAGACTTATATTGTCGTTCAATGGGTTTGTTTGCCTATTATTTGTAAACCAACCCAAGATTGAAGAGGATTTCCGGAACTTAAGTCGGTTGTAGAGCAAGTTCGTGGTCTGAGAAGTGGGTTAATGCCCAACGGTTTTATTGTAAGATTAGTTGTAGCCTATTTTTGTCTGGGTCTGACGCTCGAGGTTTTGAATTATTGAGAACGAGGATTGTCGAACTTGTGGGATTGTAGACGAAATGGTCTACAAAAAAATCTCAAACTTGCGTAAAGTGTATCCATTCCGATAATGATTTACTACAATTTTTGTGCAAGGCTAGAATATGTGCCGTGACGTCAAATGGGCTCTTCTAAAAGTACGGATAACTTGAAAAGAGGCTTGAGTATACTCAACGGCAAGGTTTAGTATAATAATGCTGTAACAGTAGAATGAGCATTGGTCCGAGAGGTCTTGTAGGCACATGATGTGGGTGCTTTTTCCTTCTATTTATGGAAATACAATACGATTTACGGTTCTTTCGGGAGAATGATGGCATGAACATAAGAGATGACGTGGGTGAATAAATACAATTGTAAAAATAGGGGAGGAAACCGCAGTACGGTAAAGCGAGTTTGTTTCCTTTGGTAACCGGCTGATCAATGAGCAAGTTGTTGACATCTTCGGTGGCGGAACTAATCCAATCGTCAAACATGGGTCTTGTTAGCACCGGGGAGTTGCAACAAGTTGCAAAAAATTCCCTTCCTTACCATGTCAGGGTATTCCTCATTTCGCACAGTAGAGAAAAATTGCGAGATGGGGTTCCCTTCGCTGACCAACGGAGCCGCTATGGCATGTGCACACTTGAGCGGAATCCTTTTGTTGGCAGCCAGTTAACTTTGGCTGCCAAGTTGCGAGTATCGCGGCGGCACCGCTATTTGTACAGAGGCCGCAGATTCCTGTCCTTTTTTTCGAAACAATAACACTCGTGGCCTTGTTATGAGGGACTTTCCCTTCTCTGAACCACCGAAGGTGTTAACAAAAGGCGTCGCGACACTTGCGGGCAACCACTTTGCGGGCAACGGGCACCTGAGGGTAACAGGGTGGAGGCGGAAAAATTACAACGATATTTTGGAAATTTACCGACATTTGTGGGCAGCCGACATTTGCAGGCAACAGGAAAAAACAAGCACGCAGATTGTATTGGAGCTTTTTGGAACTGTTGCCTGCAAATGTCGGCTTCACGCACGTATCGGCTACCCGCAAATGTCGGCAAATTTCCAAAATATCGTAGTGATTTTTCCGCCTCCACCCTGTTACCTTCAGGTGTCGGTTGCCCGTAAATGTCCCAGCCTGCCCGCAAAGTGTGCGCCCGCCAAACAAATTGCTCATCAATCAAGTAGATTTTGATCAATTCCGTCGCTGTAATCCCGCTTCTTTTATAAGTTGTCCCTCATTCCTTCCACTTGCCATTTCAAAATTGATAGCTGCAGTTGAAAGGTGTCTAGTCATGTCACGGGATCAAAAGTGTGTAGCCGCTTTCTAGACGTGACTTTCAATAACCCTTTTGTGTTTCCTACCTACAATCTTGCCAGGCACTACATTATTTCACCAATCCAAGTTAGCGACATCATTACACTTAATATGGCCTTCACGTATTCTCATTGTACGACTATCCACTACGATTTATTCTGCCGGAAGTACAAAAAAGAACAAAAAGAAGTGGCGAAGGTGCTTGCTGCAATACATCACCTTTTCTTAGAGATTTGACAATTACATTTTTTGTCATTGATGGGACGTAAAGGCGGTTTCGAAAGTTTTGTTTACGGTTATTGTTGTGCACAAATGAGGGTGTAAATTTTAATGCGATTGAACTGAGGGTCTCAGAATAAGCATGATTTATCCTAAGCTGTGAAATGAATAACACTGTGAGTAATCAGAACAACAAAAAACCGCACAAACAATGAGAAATTACTGTAAACGCGTCAACGGCTCTTCATGATCAAATGATGAGTGGATTGAGTGACTAAGATACAATTAAAGGGCATTGTTTCAAGCGTATGATGACTTTCAAAATTGAGAAATTAAATGAGGGCATTTGAAAAAAAGGCTTGTGATTCATTATTGAAGCTCTGATGCTTAATAGTTGAATGAAATTTGTTGCAAAATTTATTACGAAAGATTTTTGTGTGAGTTTTAGCTTTCGCGTGGCGGAAACGAGTAATTTTCCGTTTGAGAGTGTGATTGGCGGGCCGGTCATCAACAGCCGGGTTGAAGCCCAGCTAGCGCTAACTAGAAATAAGCCTTTTCTCAAAATCTAGTCCCTACGCTCTGATTATGGCTTTACGGAGATGCACATGGCTTTCGGATCAGGCCGACCCAAAATCGGCCCGATGCGCCGGACCGACTGGTCGTTGAATACGAACATATCGAAGCCTCTGCAAAGCGCGAACTAAACTTTCCCGGATTGTTATTGGTGTCGCTAGGTTATGGTTATGATAAAAAAATTTTAAGAAATTTCTCTATGCGCAGTTGAGTTAGTTGAATTACTTGTCGCAAGTTCATCCACAACACAATGACAATCTTAAATGACGCCTAGAGTCTTGAACTCCGTATTACACTTTATTCGCAGAGCCGCTAAGTTCAAGAATGTCGGCATTCTTGAAGCTACAACAATAGACAAGGTTACTACATACATAAGACGTCGTAAATGAATAAAAAAAGAATATTGTCGACATACAACTGTTATTAGGACAAACGCATTCGTCGATTGTGCGATAGCTAAATTTACAACCAATGCACTTTTGATTTGATGAGGACTCACTCTGTGGATGAGTTCGACCGGAAAACTGTGATCTTTTACGCTGAGAGGATTGGGATGGGCTCAATAACAAGGATATTATATTATTACAGTAGTGCGTAAAACATGAGCCGTAAATTGGCCTGTTTTGGAGGAATGGCGGAGAAATTTGTGTTAAAAAATATATTTGAAGCCAAATTATTGTAGGAAAAAATTTGTCGAATGTATCTTAAGTGATGATATTCTAAAAATTTAAAAAATATCAAAACAGGCGGAACCCATGAGACGCTTTGTAATATGAGTCTTGGAAAACATAAGACATTGGGTTAAAAATAACCAAGGAGGTCGAAATTATAATCCGCGGATGCCTAAATATTGACTAAAGAGTAAAGAGAGCAAACATTTTTGCCTAATGGGGGCATCCTAAGGGCATCCATGGCCATAGCGACAAATGTCGCATAGTCTATTCTTTAGTTCGTTACCTAGAATCGGCATTGTGGTCGTACGAGATACTTGAGGATATTTTTGGGGATATATAATTTCCGCCTCCGTCCGTAAACATCTTTGTTTAATTTACGACCCAACGATTACTTGCAATCTACAGTAAGCTCGCTAAACTCTATTTGCGTCAAGGTTAGTGGACTCGCCATTTATTAGACTATTTACATGTGCTGGGACAACAAAGAACGAATAATATATATATAATACGTCGTGGTGTGACGTCTTCAAAGATTCTTAGAGACTGCAATACATGTGGCGCCCAAAGCCGTCACCGAGATGGAAAGGATTAGCATAACGATACTTCTTGTCCCATTGATCTCCTTGAAGTAGAACAAGGACCAGCATGACGCGATGCAGCCGGGCAGAATGGCTCCGATGGGTCCGCAAACGGACTGGCTGAGATTCTTGGTGGCGACAATGAACAGGGTCTGGGCCGTGCCCCAGATGAGGCCGGACAAGAAGGAGGGCACGGTGAGTTCGGCACTCACAAACGGCTTGTTCTTTCTGCAAAATTTCGAAGTGATTTCTGAGGTGCAACGCGTGGATTTGAACCTTACAGTGACGGACCTGATCCAGTGTCAAAAAACGTACCATTTTGCATCCGAAAAGTATCAAAAAATGTAGCAAAATGCCTCCATCTCCGACTAAAAAACTCCGTTTTTTTACTTTGAGAGAGAGGTATTTTGCTAAATTTTTTGATACTTCCCGGATGCAAAAACGTACGTTTTTTGCCACTCGATCAAGGCCGTCACTGCATAAGGCCAAAAAATGAATTCCCCAAGAACTTACTTGGCAATACTGTAGACGAAGAAGATAAGTGAAGCAGTCAAGAAGATCCCCATGTAGTGGGACAAACAATATGACAGACCGTCCTGCGGTGCGTCTGGATAGAGATCGGGATGGTCTTGAACATGAACCACTGGGGTCACATTTTCTCCGTAGAAAAACCCAGCGAGTAAGGCGAAGGCGATGGCGCTGAAAATTGCGATTTTACTTGCGTGATCTTTGACAGATTTCTCGACATCGTAGGCTACAAGAGTCATGTTTATTATGACAATATGCTAAGTACCGCCGGCTATTTTTAGAGATGCCTAATTTATCGTTTGTAGTCATCAGGACTCTTTTTTGCTTTTTCTTTTTGACCAATCGTACTTACTCCCGGCTTTTTCACTGCTAATGATGGTAAATAAGAACTCTCAAACTCACATCAATCTTCGAGCGCCGTGCTTGTTGACGGCGCTCGTCGTCTCCGGTTGTTTGTCCTCGAACTCGGCGGAGTCGATCGTCTTGGACGGCACAATTGTCTGGATCGAAGAGCTGTTTGACACGGTGGCCTTTGCTTTCTTTGGGGGCGAGCGGATAAAGGCGATTAGTAGGCCGCTAAAAGAGAATAAATGTGCGTAGTTGGAGTTGAAAGGGTCAACGGCGGTGATTGATGACGGGGACATGTTTACAAAGAGGTTACGGTAACTTGATTAAGAGCTAGGGCTTTTTTCGACGAGAGAAGAAACCCTTTCGTGGTCCGTAAAAAAGTTTACAAGACAGACAATTAATCTTATGTTTAATGTAATATTATATTGATATTTTACATCGTAAGCGTGCTTACCCAATCAACAAAAACACCAGCCCAATGTAATTCAGCCACACAGTCGTTGGCGGCCTTGCCTTCGTCCAGAACAACCCGTAATACCCGGTAACCCAGTTGGTTAGGCAATTTGTAAAGCTGTACAATAGAACTGTGACGGCCAATCCAAGCTCACCAATGCATGGAAGGACTATCAGATTTGCTGAAAATTCAAAATTCAGCATTTCGAAAATGGGGCTTGTAAAATACGCCAAGGGTTAGATTTCCATATCTTCTTACCGATAGTCCAAAAAGCACCACCGATCATCACAACGGGGTAGAAGTGAAAGCTCCCTCGAACGCATGTCACGCAGATTCCGAGCACGAGAACTGCCACACTGCGGATTTGAAGGGAGTAGACGCCTGGAAATTGTTAAATCGTGTTGGTATTTGAAGTTGAAATTTTTAAAAAATCGGCCACCTATGTAGCAACTATGAATCTCAAAAGTATGAAAAGCAGAGCCTCGGGAAATTTTAATCAATTTTTCCGAGGTTATATCAAAATCTAGCCGCCTCAATCTGCTAAAATCCTTTTAATAGCTGCAACCTACCATCGCCAAAGAAGAACGGCTTAATCGGCACGAATGCCGACCCATACAATGCTGTCGAGACCAAACATTCAGTGATTCCGAGCAGGAATTCCGTGTCCATTTAGTTCGCCACTTCCCTTACAGTTCACCTTCTCCTTCACGAAGCTAATCGGAAAAAGATTTGTGGTGCGTTCTGGGTGCAACGATAAGCGAGGATGGACTGGGAACGCCCTTACTTCAACCCGAAACGCGGCGAAAGATCAGCTGAATGGCGCGGCTGAAACTGCGAGATTTCAACGATATTTAAATCCCCTCCCGGTGGCCTCGGCTTGATAAAGAGTGTTTGAAAAAATGAATGCATATGCAAATCAAGTGAGCGCTTTTTTACGAAAAAGAGTTTTCTGGAGCCGAGATAAGACGGTTTCAACGAAATGAACTGATTCATATGACAATGACCCGGTGATAAATATTGTTGATGGGGCGTTGCTGAGATCATGCGAAAACATCGTTGATATCAGGCGTCTCAATGTGGAAACATTAATGGAAAACGAACCAGGAACTGATTTTGTTTTGGCTAATTAGGGAGACTGTAGCTGGTATGGAGGATGTAGTTTGAGGATACCGTTGTTGATTTTAGAGAAATGCCACTCTCATTTTGTAAAGACATATAGGGAAATTGTGGAAGACGTCTCAAAGAAGAGGTAAAACCTTTAGCCGCGTTTTGCAGAAAGCGAAAACATTTTTGGCTAAAAAATGATGACAATTCGTTTTCTGCTTGGACTTTCAGGATTTGACATCGGCTCTCTTTTTTGTTCAAAGTGTTCTAAAACATGGTTTAAAAACTTGTTCTCTGCCATCTTGCGTCGTCTGCAAGAACTGCTTAATGACTCGGCTCTGCCTACAAAGCGTATTCCATAATTTCAAAAATTAAAATTTGTGGTCCAGGTGGATCATTCATCGAAAACTATAAGTTGAATAGATTCATCTCGAGCATTTACTTTGTGGAAAAACAACGTCAAAAAAAAAGAAACACAAGCAAAAATATATGCAGCAACTTTTCGAAAGGGTTTTCTACAGTTACTTTACCTTATAAGGGCGCTTCTTACGCCGCGAGAAATAACATGTCAAAAAAAAATTTTGTCGAAGACAGTAACGAAACGATGGTAACATTCTACATCATTAACACCAATGGTTTTGCTATATGTTTTCGCGGCAGCATATCAGTCTGTCGAGAAAATAATGAGCAAAATGCCGCTCTGCCGTCGCATCGCTGAAGTGAAAGCAATTTGATTTTTCCGCGACACAATTCATTTTCCCAACGGCGGTGCGATTTTCGATGCGACAGAGTGTTCATTATTTTCCCGAGAAACTAAAATACATTTAAAATACTTTTTTTTTGACAATTCCCATCCTAAGCCGTAAAAAGCCACCACAAAAAAGAGGCCGGCCTGCTGATATCGAACGACTTGAACTCTCAAAAAAAAACTTTGTGACTGATGACCAGCCCAAATTCACATGGTTTCGTCTGGTTTTATCGTGGTTTGCAGACAACCGATCATTGGTAGTTCCCAGCACCCACAAGTGGAGATTATAAGCCGATGAAAGCGCCGAGCAAAATACGCGATTATTATACCATACCCTTCCAGCGCTTTCTTCCCTTCCCTCGCTTTTGTACAGCGTTGATGCAGAAAAAATGATCATTTGGATCGCTGTAATATTGACGTCTGGCGCAAACATGAGAGCTTTTTAATACCGGGAACGACTTTTTGTCCCGAAGTTTCGCGAAGCGCCTTCGTATGGTTTGATGTTTTATCGAAGTGTGGTTGCAAGGGCATGTTTTACGAATGCGTGCATAAATTTTTGATAACATTATACGACTAGCATATGATATGATCAATGCGTAAAAGATTCTGGAACATCTTCTACAGCAGCAATTTATAGGGTGTAACATAACATGATCTTGATGAAGATTGAGATAATTAAGACACTTTATAAGCGGCCCAGTGGTATCAAATTTTAGTCTGAAAGACGAGGGTTCATAGAAACTAAGTTCAACAGGATAAAGGTCATTACTCGTAAGGGCATCCCCATTACAATATGGGTTCATTTTGAGATAAATCACCGGCCAAAAGACCCTAAAACTTCCACTGTTGCTCCAGAATTTAATAAAAAATGGTCCCAAACTGATAATCATTACAAATATCGGCCGTGGAAGAGAAAGATTTGCAAAAAAGCGCAAAGAACGTCTCCCAAACGGCGACGATTCCCCGATCACCACTGATTAGGATGTCTCCAAAACGTTTTCGAACAAATTAATTATTCATTCTTTAGTGTAAAAGTCATATTGAAAGAAGAAAAAAAAATAGAGAAAATCACGCTTTAAACTGGGAGAAGATTGATCCTCTCCCGCCACGAGTGTTACAACGCCTTAAGCACGTTCGGAGGAGCGGGGCGTTCCAGCGAACGGTGAGTCAAGACGAGACGAAATGCGGAGTATATGGCCGATCATGTCCGCAGGGCAGCTGTGTCATTTCGGGCTCGTTTCGAGCCCACCCGAACTTCTCAAGAGCACATCGAGTGGGGCGTTTCAACGCATTGCCAAGACGAACAAGAGAGAAGAAAGTGATAACCGGAAGTGCGGCCCGCTGTAAACCCCCCAGATGGCGGTTGAAGTTTTGATTGAATAACTGGTATTTTAACGGGCAAAGTTTATTAAACAATAGGGTTGTTCATTTACGCTTTTAAGGGACCAAAAAGTTCGTCTGATCTTTGAAGTGATCTTTATAACAAAGCGACGGAGGTGTGGAAGTGCTCCAAGTATGACGACCAAATCTTCTTTACAATTTTTACATATGTCTGCATCAATCTATGAAATAAGGCTACGTAAAATATGATAATTTGATTTTCAAGGCAGCCCAGATATTTACTGATCCTTACGGACGAGGGAGTATGCGAAATGCGGAAAGCGGGCAAAGTAAAAAGTTTTTAAAGGGTATAGTATCTCATCCATTGGCTCTGCGACTTTTACTGGCAACGTCTTTGCGGGAAGCCGACATTTACCGATTAGAATTACGAGCTTTCTACCGTTATCTACATAGCATCATGTAAATTTTGCATTGGCTTCTCCCTGATACTAATAAGTACACGAATCTATTATAATTTAAAAATTTATTCATCGCTTTCAAAGTTATGGGCGTTTGTTTTCAAAAGGTTTTAACCGTATGGTAACTATTCAAGCCAGCTAAAAAAAATACTGGTTGATTTCCAAACGTGCCCGCAGAGTCTCCGTGATTCTTCTGGCTGCCACAGAGTGGCTGCCCGTAAGTGTGGGCGTCTGCATCCAAAACGCGGCACTTCGAACGCTGCGAGAGACAAAGCTTCCAGGAAATTGGTGTATGACTTACACTCCATTTCAAAATGACAGACACGCTTTTAGAATCTGCAATTGAGGTGTCGGGGTTCAGTTGACGGATACGAAACCTTAACAGACTGAAAGACAAAGTTTGAAAACCTACACCTACAAATAAATTTTCTTATTGCAGTGTAATTGCACTTTACACAAAAGATTTTCCAAATTTTGGGTGTTTCAAAATGATAGACACGGCTGATCCGTCGACTCAACTCCGGCATCGCAATTGCAGATTTTATAACCGTGTCTATCATTTTGAAATGAAGTGTACAATATGGACTGAATTTTGTTTTAAACCAGACCGTCGCGCTTCGATAACCTGCCTCAAAAACTGTTGAATGTCTCCGGGGCGAACTGAAATATTTGTTAATTAAGATGAGCCTATGTAAAGTTTCTTTGTAGAACTGAAAAAATATTCACATTGAGGATGCTTCACTTCTCCTGTTGTCTGTACTCTGCCCCCGTGAGAAATTATGATATTTCATTGAAACTAACTTGCCTCTTCATTCGCAATGCCTTATCTGAACATGCTCTTATCTAAGAGGAGGTGCACAAATGGTTCATATGGTTTCAAAGACAAGCTTATCACGAAACAAAGACGTATAAATCATGGTTTTTTCAATCTTTCGACGTCACCAAATACAGTAATCTTTCAAAAAACCCGAGGTATTTTATTGAGATCCATTAGACTTTAGGGCTATATGGCTCCCGAAAAGCGTTGTTTTTATCCCCAAACTTTATTGAGCTGTTTGAAATACTCCTCGCCTTCCTCGACCGGCCTTGCACTCAACGAGTTCTCAGTTTTGGGTCGTGTTCGTCGAACGCACGGGAGATAACGTCTCGTCGAACAATAGAGCACTGGATGGTATCGGAGAAAGGCAGCTTCGTAGGCAGCGGCGCAACAATCAGTCATGACAAAGGTGGTCTGAAAAAAAGTGATATTGAGTCGTACCATAACCGGGATTGTGCCAAAATGCGACAGTCAGATTTGCATGAAAATCGACACAAAGAAATGCCACAAAGACGTATCCATTTAACCCCGAAACAACGATTTCCCACCCACCTTTAAGAACAGGTACATCTGTTCATCCAGCTTCTCTCCATGCACCATTTTCATTCCGACGGTGCCGACGATAACTATGCAGAGAAATCCCACTCCGAACACCCCAACAACAATCAACGGAGTGAAAATTCGCAATACAACGACGTTGTCGTGATACTGATATCTTGTGGTTAGAGTCCCCTCGCCTCTCCGTAAGCTCATTTTCTTGTTGTAGTGGTACAAATAAATTGTCGGTCCCGCGCCAAACGCCATATTCAGGCCGAATATGAACCAGCTGAAAATTGAGTGGGCAATTCAAGAAAGAAATAGGTCTGTCGGAAAAATAATGTGCATTTTTCGCGCCTTGAAATAGTCCGTCATTGCTTTGCGATGGCCAGCAGCGGCTGGAGATTTGAAGCCCGACTGCAACGTGGCGAGGCATTTTAATACACCAGCTTCACATTATTTTCACGACAGACTGATAGTATTCTGTATATCCGCAGTCGTCATTTACACACCTCATATCAGAAGGACCGTTCTTGGATTTCGTTTGTATTTTATTTATCAAAGATATGTCATGCTCAAAATTAAATATCTTGACTGTCAGACTGTCAGGGAAATTGTGGGAACAATGTCGCTGCGCCAATCCCGTCGCTGAATTCAAAAACAATTTGATTTTGCCGCAACACAATTCATTTTCTCGGCGGCGGTGCGATTTTTGATGGGACAGAGTTCTCATTATTTTTCCGACAGACTGATAATCTTGTCAGTTTGAATTGATTTTAATTAAAAACCTAGGGGCATCTTAAAAAATATGCCATAATTTCGCCAACCTTATTTTCCCGACAGACTGTTTTTTCCTAAAAATCCGTTGTGAACTACCAGAAATCCTTTGCAAAGGCAATCTACCTTCAGTGAATTGAATTACACTCACCTGTACACGTAGAACACCGGGAACCGGTTCATCAAAACGCAATCCGAAAAGTGCTCCTCGACAAGTCCGAACCCGCTCAGAACAAACACAGCCAGCGCATAGCCGAAGGCGTAGATCACCAGCAACGCCACCAGCACCCTCGTCAACGTTGTGTCCCAGTTGTCGTAGCTTTTATGGTATTTTGTGGCAATAGCGCGCTCAATAATCACTGTGGCAAAAGAAAACTGAACAAGCCCCATTCCAAAGGCATGCACAAAGCTCATGGAAGTGCAGACGGTCTCCGTAACCAGGCCTTCGCCGACTAGTGATTGGAAAGCGTCGGTGAGAAGCCGAGGGATGGCAAGAAGACGGAGTTCGAAGGAAACGAGAATCTACAAGGCTGTTGTATTATGTGTACACATGTATGTGACTATATCAAATTATCGGGAAGATAACGAGTGCTCTGTCGCTCGAAAGTGGCGTTTATGCTAACAAGGGAAGGACTCCAAGTGCGACGCTCAGATTTCCCTCAAATTTTGCACACACAATGGCCATAGATTAGATATCAATTCCTGAAAGTTTTAGCTCGCGCTTTGCAGGTGCGCCGAGGTATTGAACGTTTTTTTGCCGACCGACAGAATGCACTAAACGTGGAGAGCGGCCAGGGAGAAAAACACTTTTTAGCCATAACTTCGCTAGTTTCGCACGGAAAAAAACTATTTTTTGTGGAAATATTACCCTTAACGGTAAAAATAAGTACGAAATTTTTCCTGCCGGAATTCGGCAAAAAGTCCTAAACTTTCACCGACTTTCGACCTAAAAATCTCGGCTGTTTCTGCAAAGCGCGAGCTAGGATTCTCGAATATGTCTTAGAGAAAAATATTCTAAATTTGTGCTTAGTTTCATTAAAATCTGAGCGTCGCACTTGGCGTAGTTCCCCTAAGAAAATGAATTGTTTCCGGCAAAATCAAATTGCTTTTCACTTCAGCGACGCGATCCGCGCAACGTCATTGTGCTCATTGTTTTCCCAACAGACTCATATGCTCTCAACTCCCCGCCCGAGGGATTCTTTCCTCCCTACGACACTACAACCACCTGCAGACTCCTGCTACTCTCCCCAGCCCCCTCTTGCAATATTAAGGGACTTACCAACAGAAACCTCAAGTTCCCATGGATTGAAGACGCTTTGGTGACAATAAAAATAAAAAACGCTGACGAAGCCATCGAATACATGGTGACTGTGGTCCCAGCAACATTCACCATGCCTGTCCAGAACCGCACGTTCATGGGCTAAAATTGAGGCAGTAAATTTGTATTTCTTGCAAAGTTCACGTATAACAGAACACAATTTGAGAAAACATTACGTTCGTCGGTTATTGGAAAGGCATAAAATCTACGGTACAACTAGAAATATGTTATTTTAGTAATGAAATCAAAGCTTTTTCGAAAACCCCCGCCCTCAAATCGAGTGTTATTTGTGACAACAAAAATTCGAAAAATTACTACTTGACAGTACTATATACTTAAGAAATGCAACGATTAGAAAAAAATAAGTATTATTTTCAAAACTAGCACTTTTGAAAACCTCAAAATCATTTATTTGTGACAACAAAAATTCAAAAGACTGATGCTTTAGAGTACTATGAATCTGTCGGGAAAATAATGTGGATTCGTCACGCCTAGGAATCACACAACATCGCTTTGCGACGGCTAGTTGCGGTTGAGGAATTGGCGCGACGACCCGCCATTATTTTCCCGACAGACTGATAGTTAAGAAAAAAATTAACGAGCAGAAAAATGAATATGATCGTTGAAATCAACGCCTTTGATTGTCCAAATTTCGAGACTTACATGCGAGAAAAATAATATTTTTCAGAGTCGACATTTGTATTTTCCCCCAAGTGACGAGTTCCCTCATTATAAAGTAATTGAAACGAACGTTCATCGTTCTTGTACAAACTCTCTGCCAAAACAAGACAAATTTTGTTTTGAATGGGAAAAAAGGATGACAGGTAGGCCACAGTGGGCGAAAGCCATAAAGGCAGACTTTGAGAACGTTTGCAAAAATTTGCATCAATCTTTCAGACCGACCTCTCTCCCGCCCCAGAACTTTATTTTGTGTTAGATACACCCTTGTCAACCAGACAAGATCTATGCGGCTAACAACGATTATTTAATGCATACAGTGACTACATAAGATTGCAGCGTTTCGTATATTTTTGAACTAAAAACGCAACGAAGTACATAATTATGTACTCTCGAAATCTACCATAGCATGACCACGAAAATGGTTAATTAACAAGGGAAGTACTTCTATAGGGTCACGAGTTAGAGGTGCAGATATATGTATATCAAACAATTCGCGAGCTTATGCGAATTGTTTGATATTTCTGGCCAATTTTTGCATTAATGATATTTCTCAACGAAAAAGTCAAAACTTTTGGGTAAAAAACCCAAAATATGACGGCCCTCTAATTGTATTACAACGTGGTATAATTTTTTCTGATAGCTTCGAACCTCAGGGCACTTCAGATTGCCAGACTTTCGCACTACCGACTGCGCCATGGGTGCCTCTCTCGGAAGCAAAGAAGGGACCGAGCGCGGGGGCCTCCGCACTGTGCAAAACACTCCGAAAGGCTTTGTCGCGGAGCGAAAAGAATTTTTGTTTTGTCGCACGGCGACAAGGCCAAAATTGGCAATGCACTGTGCAACTTGAGAAACAGCCAAGCTCTCTGGGTGAAATGCAGAGTGCAGGGTGCGTCCGGGGAAAAGTGGGACAATCAAAAGGGGTGTGCCTGCGAAAACGTTCGGGGGCTGTTTTTCGCACTGTGCAAAACGGAAAAAAACCTGCGAACGTAGGCTTTTTTGTTGATTGCACGGTGCAAATTTTTTCAAATTTCAGGTTTCGAAGGGGGAGCTTCTGCAAAATATTTTGCAACGCTCCGCCGACAAATTTCGCACGGTGCAGGTGAGAAAAGGCATTTTTGGGCTGATTGCACTGCGCAAACCGTGTCGCGACATGGGGAAAGGGCATTTTGCACAGTGCATTGTGCATTTTCGTGAGATAGCAAAAATTTCTCTAGCTTTCTCGTCGATTTCCGGTCCCATTCTTTTTCCGAGGGCGATATTGGTTGGGTCCGCGCGGGTTCGAAATTTTCTTTTATTTTCTCCGGGTTTTCGCAAGTGCACTTTGCGGAGAAAAGGTGCACTGCACGGTGCTAAGCGCATAGGCTTAGTTTGGTTAGGCGCTTTAGCATATATCAGCCTGTCGGAAAAATAACGGCGGATCGTCGCAGCAAAATGTCTCGCCTCGCCGCTGTCGCGCACCAAATCCCCAACCGCCGCTTGCAGTCGCAAAGCGATGATGGGCGATTCCGAGGGGCGACGATCCGCCGTTACTTATTTTCCCGACAGACTGATACCCAAAAAATGTCTTCAATAAATTTAAACCTATATCCGGAAGGTATGTGTTGTTTATAACTTTGAATTCTGATTTGGACTTTAAATATTATCATTAATCGGGCAATCAGACGGAATACATTCTCAAGGCCAATTCCGGTGAGATTAGAAACTAAAAGGGCGTGCGTCATCCGCCTTCCACACAAAATCCGAAACGTGCCTCACAAAACACAAGCTGCTTCCTACAAGTCTAGAGTGTGCGGAAGTGATCGTACAAGATTGCAACGGTGAATAATGTTGAGAACACAAATTTCAATTAAAACGCACATGCATCATTTGTGCTTGCACGTACTTTGAACGCCCTCGAACCACACGCCGACCGCAAATTCTCCACCGTACGCGGATTCGCCATCGTATATAAGCGGAGAGGATCCACTCGGAGCGAATGAAAGGTGATCCTCAGTCGGTTAAAGGATGTGGTGCTTTGCGTTTATTGGACTACTATTTACGGGGACCCAGGGCTTTCTTACCCCCGATTTTCGAGAGTTCTTGGTTGAGAACTATGGTGAAGAAACGGCAAAGACATTGGAACGAGCGGATCTGTTTGGAATCGGGAGCTTTGGAGGGAGAACGGAGAAGGGCCAGGAGATCAAAAATAAGGTGAGAATTATGCAAAGGGCTGAGCAAAGTTAAATCAAATTATCATCACGCTGCTATGAAAAGGCCATGAAAATTTATTTGATGCCAGATTTGTAGAGTTGCCTTGTATGGCTGGATTTTTAAGGGCCTGTTTTGAGGTAGAAAGAGCCTCACGGCTTTAAAGAATCCGCAAAAATTCAAAGGAAACTGCGATATAAACACTGGCAGTCTGTCGGGAAAATAATGTGGATTTGTCGCAGTGAAATGCCTCGTCGCAGTCACGCGCCAAATCTCTAGCCGCGGCTAGCCATTGAAAAGCGATGTCCACATTATTTTCCCGGCAGATTAATATTGCAACTGCAATGTTATAAAGATCCAATTTAACATTATTTTTTACTTGACAGGCGCTTACACGAAACATTTTATAACCCAAATTTTGCAGCCTGATATTTCCCGTCCAAAGAATTACAAAGCTTTCCCCTTCTAAAAACATAAAATACATTTCTGTTTTGGCAAAAAAATTTCAATTCGTGTTCTTAGAACATCATGATACAATTGTTTCATCATAACCCAATCTGGCCCTAGTTATTCCTCCTTTCCCTTATTGAAGCACGTCTAATATGTTTGAGGGGTAAACATGCGACCTCAACATATGTATATAGGCAATTGACCCTGCTTGCAGCACGGTCCGACGCTGAGCCTTGTGAAAAGTGGGCCGCTTTCAAAATTTTGGAAACACGGCCCTGCATTGAAAGACCTAAAATTACTGGGGCCTGTTTCACTAACATAAAAATAAATAAAAGAGAAGTAGGGGGGAGCGAGAGAGCATCGAAAACGCGTTTGCGAGCGAGAGAAACCGGACGAAAAGCAGAAGTAGCCTACTTTTGCGGGAGTGACTTTTTACGTCCAAAACCGCGGTTCGCGGCAGTATTTTGGCCATAACTTTTTTCTCAGTTGGTCTAGGAACACCCTTCACAATTTACAATGAAGCTGACAGTTTCAGCTATCACCAAGATTATTTTCATTGCTGTGGTGCCAAAACCCGTCCTTAAAAAAATCGTAAAGTACGCGTGCTTTCATTTTTGAGAAAATCGACTAAATTGTAGCTTAAAATCGCCATAACTTGGGTAAAACTTTTCGGATTGAAACCCTCCAAAAAACAACACATAGAATTTTTTAAGTAGTTTTAGACAATATGTGTTTTGAATTCCTTTTATAGCCCGGTGGACCGCTAATTTTACAGTAGTACGGCCAACCATCTCGTTTTTTCTTCTTCGCCGAATAAAAACGAATTTTTCTCACCAATGTTTATAAGAATGATTACAAGTTTCATATCAGTGTGTAGAGCCGTTTCTTAGCTACATTATGTTTTTTGAGGGGTGGCGATATATCATAAACTGATAGAGTTACGTGCAATTAAATCAAGGTAACCTCCATTTTTGACCATAAAAAGTCGTTCCGAAAGGGGCGAACTTTTCCTCTTCCTTTGATTTGAGGGCTCTTTTTATGACAAAAATGGAGGTAAATTTGCCATAACTCAGCCATAATAAGACCTACAATTGACCCTCTAAAAAAGCCTCATGGAAAAAAAGATGGGCTATCGACTGGTATAAATTAAAGCGTCAACATTTTGAAATTGACCGAGAAATAAAACATTTCGTATCTTCACTGTAAATGTACTCTGTATTTTAAGCTATATAACTAATCTACTCTTGAAAATAAAACAACGAAATTTAGATATGTTGTAGTCTCAACCGTCAGCTTTATTTTGTTTTTTGAAGGGTGTTCCAATACCAATTGAGAAAAAAGTTATGGCCAAAATTCTGCCGCCAACCCCGGTTTTGGACGCAAAAAGTCACTCCGAAAGAGAAGTAGGCTACTTCTGCTTTTCGTCCGGTTTCTCTCGATCGCAAACGCGTTTTCGATGCTCTCTCGCTCCCCCTACTTTTCATTTTATTTATTTTTATGTTAGTGAAACAGGCCCCTGAAGTCCAAACTGGTAGTTTTAGTTCATTTTTTAACCGTCATCTTTTTCAAAAAAAACCCTGGTGATTACTTATCATAGAACCTAGAAGAGCTAAACCGAACGTCGAACATATAATCACCTCCCAATTAACAATTTCAGCACAAAAAAATTTTTTATTCCACTTTTTTCAAATTGGGGATCAGACCTCCAAATACCGGGCCGTAGCTTGGCCCGGTATAAAGCAGGCTCGGCCCGTTTTCGAATTTCCAAAGGCCAGGCCAGGCTGTCTGCCTCAACACAAGACAATATCAATTTCATTAGTCCAACGCAATTTACAAACTTGCGAAAAGCAAGAAATTATGACGATTGGATAATAAGATTTTGAAAATAAATTTTCCAATTTACTCTGGCAACATGCATGTAAGCATAGATCAATTTTTAAGTTTTAAAAAGTACTACATTGAAAGATCGAAATTTCAAAACTTCTCACGCCAAAAATTCGAAGACATTTTGGTACAATTTTTCATTCATAGTAAAAAATCAAAATCTAAATCTGTAAAAATCTGCTAAGCGCGAGCTAGGGTTCTCGCACATGTCTTGAAAAAAATGCTCTAAATTTGTGCCAAGTTCCATCAAAATCTGAGCGTCGCACTTGGAATACTTTCACTGTTAGCAGCGAAATTCTATCACTTCAATAAACCGATAAATCTTCGATACTTTGGGATTAGCAATTTATTCTTGACGTGCATCATAATAGCGTTGCTCTCAGTACTAGCAAATAACAACCACAAAAGGTGCCCACAAGTGACGTCTTCCTCTGATTTCAGCCAGTTGTCTTCGTGCATGGATCAACTCTGTCGGCCGGATTCTTTGATTCGCATCGGCGTTGGTACATGTCCCGAGGTTACACCTCCGCGGAACTCTACGCGACAACTTATGCGGACGCTGGACAGAAGAAGAGTTTGGTGACAAAGCTTATGAATTGTGAGGATGTTCAGAGTGTAAGGATTTAGCGGTAGTAAAAGTTGATAGTAGCAAAATTACAACGTTTCCTCTCTTTTACTATCTAATTATTAAACTAGTTAGTAAAGAATTTTCTGTGCTAGCAGCTTACAGAAACCTATGGGCTTGATTTTTTTTATACCTTCACTATGTGTACGACATCTCTGTTTTCAGATTCGCACACTCATCCAAGCCGTTCACGAATACACTGGCTCTGTTGTAGATGTCCTCGGCTTTTCCATGGGAACCCCCATTTCGAGGAAGGCGATTCTCGGCGGAGAATGCGTGGATACTAAGGAGGACCTCGGAGGTCCCATCACCGACATGGTCGACACTTTTATCGCCGTTGGAGGAGTTGCCTATGGGATGGAGCAGTGCAAAAGCAACCATTGGGCGAGTTGCAACCTAATCAATGGAATGAATTGCACATCGCTCTACGAGGTGAGCAAGAAATTAAAACTTACAAAGGAAACACCAAATGCGAGGCTAAGATTTTCTTTCAATTTTGCACACACCTTGGACATACCTTATACGATAGAAATAGGCATGAAACTTTTCATGAAGTTTTGCAAAAAAATTCGTGTTTTTTCTAAAGTCCGACTTAAAGTTTTTGCTCGTTTCTGCAAAGTGCGACCTAGCAATCTCGTATATATATGCCTTACCATTAGGAAACATGGCTCAAAATTTGCGCCAAGTTCACGCAGAACTAAACATCGTACATAGAAAACTTCCTCTGCAAGTCAAATAGTATTAGTCCAAAATAAAACCCCTCACTTCTTTCAGAAGGACGTGAACGCACCAAATCAGCGGTACGAAGGTAAATTTTCCTTCGGAATCTACAGCTTGGACGACCCGGTTATTGGCAGACATTGCTGCGGACATGACTGTGGATCCCTAAAGAACGCAAACCAAAACTTTCAACACAACGGCCTAGGACACGGCGGGATCGTGCTACAGACCAAGGAGCTACAGTACGTCCTCTTCAGGCAGCATTCCGCGAACCAAAATACGAGGAGAAATTAGGATCTTCGAATATTGTGTGTTGCTCCGAAAATGATGGTAAATATGATTGTAATCAAATAAAAGTGTCTCTTACCATCAGGCGAGGTCTCAATTTTGCAATACAGTCCGCATTTATGTGGATTTTTATGTGATTTGCCCACAAAATCCAAGTTCATCGCACAAAACACAGGTACTGTTACAGTACCCAAAATTATAGCGCATCAAAAGGCGATGTGACCTCGGACACAAACCTTAACGATTGCGCAGCAAAACGTCTCTGACTTGTGAACCGAAAATGCCCTCTTATCCGTCGCCTACGTGAGCCGAGGCGCACTGACCGTTGCGCCGACAGAGATTCTCTACCCTCCGCGAATTCGCCATCGTATATAAGCGAGAGGATCCACTCGTCGAATTAAAGGTGATAAATAACTTGGTTACATGACGATGCCCTGCTTTGCGATTATTGGACTGCTATTGATGGGGACCGAAGGCTATCTCACCCCCGATTTTCGAGAATTCTTGGTCCAAAATTATGATGAAGCAACGGCAAGAGCGTTGGAACGTTGGGATCTGTATGGAATTGGGAGTTTTGGAGGGAGAACGGAGAAGGATCAGGAGGTCAAAAATAAGGTGAGGATTATGCAAAGGGCTGAGCGAAATTAAATCAAATTATCATCGGGCCACTATGAAAAAATGGTCATAGAAATTTATTTGATAACATATTTGTAGAGTTGCCTATTCTGACAGGATTTTTAAAGATCCATTTCCGGTTCAAAAAAGCCCGACGGCTTTAAGGAAAGAGAAAAATTTGGACTAAACTGCGATATATGAAAAGTATGTCGGGAAAATAATGTGGATATGCCGCAGTGAAATTTCTCGCCTCACCGCAGTCGCCCACCACATCTCCAGCCGCGGTAAGCCGTTGTAAAGCGATTATGGTCAATTCCAAGGCAACCCACATTATTTTCCCGACAGGCTGATGTCATCGGACTATTGTAAAAAGATCATAAAGATAGTTGATACAAAATATGCAGACTTGCCTTCTACGGACCGGATTTTTAAAGGTCAAATCGTTGAAAGATCTTTAGTTTGGAAAACCTTGTCGGTTGAAAAAAAATCACGCAAGATTTTCGGAATAAACGAAATTCTTTAGCAATTATCCGTGTCGGGAAAATAATGTGAATTCGTGGCGTGTTAAAACCGCCTATCTTCGCTTTGAGACGGCAAACCGCGGCTGGGAACTTAAAATTCTCATCGAGGCGAGACTTTTGCTGCGATAAATCCACATTACTTTACCGACAGAGGTATAAGTTTGAAAATTAATTTTAGGATTGTTTCACGCAATTTTCAAACAACCACAATTCTACAGAACGCACAAGTTTCTAGCCTAAAATCCCTTAATCCAAAGATTCCAAGAACTCCTTTATTTTTTTTTTGGCCAAAGAACGTAAATTTTGATGCACGGCCTCTTCCAGTCTCCCCGTCCGGAACATCATGTTCTCATACATATAATCTAATCCACCCTTAATTCTTCTTCCTCTTCCCTTTCAAATTCGTCTAATATCATGCTTTCTGACACGTTACGAAGAACATACGCAACAAAATAGGAATCTGATTAGTCTAGTGAACTTACCCCTCTTTTTCAGCCAATTATCTTCGTGCATGGGTCTACTTTGTCGGCCGGATTCTTCGATTCGCATCGTCGTTTTTTCCTGGCACGAGACTACAATTCCGCTGAGCTCTACGCTACAACTTATGGATATGCGGGGTTGAAGAAGAACTTGTTCACAAAGATCATGGATTGCGAGAATGTTCAGAATGTAAGGGTTATAAGGGGATTAAAAAGATACTGAAAAATGTCGAGATATCATATAGAGCATGACTTCTTCTATGGCAGTAGTTTACAGTAAACATGGCCCTGGGGTCCGGCCAAAAATCGAGAGCCGGCCTCAAACAGTTCGGCATGACAGAGCCTGAATTTCCAATTGTATCTTGCTGACACGCTATATTTCTCCCTTTTCAGGTCCGAAAACTCATCCAAGCCGTTCACGAATACACCAATTCCACGGTAGATGTCCTCGCGTTCTCTATGGGAACAGCAATTTCGCGCAAAGCGATACTGGGCGGGGAATGTGTCGATACGAAAGAGAATCTTGGAGAACCCATCACTGACATTGTCGATACATTTATCGCGATTGGAGGAGTAGCTTATGGGATGGAACATTGTCATCACAAAAATTGGGAGAGCTGCAACGTAGTGAATGGAATGAAATGCACTTCGCTCTATTTGGTAAGCTAAACATGACGGTCTGAATTCAAATTTGCACACTTTTGGCTACATTCTTGGCTACAAATTTGAAGCAAAAAAATTAATTTTAAAAAATTTATTTTGGTCCAAAATATAATTCATAAATCTTTCAGAGGGACGTCAACAAGCCCACCGAGCGATATGAAGGTCGATTTTCCTATGGAATCTACAGCAAGGATGACCCTGTGATTGGCAAAGAATGTTGTGGACATGACTGTGCCGCCCTGAAGAATGCAAATCAAAACTTTCTGAAGAACGGTCTAGAACATGGTGGGATCATCCTGCAGACCAAGGAGCTACAGTACAATCTGTTCAAAAAACATGCCGCAGAACGAAGGCGAAGGGGAAATTAGGATGTCCTTATAGTATTTATATGTATTGTATTTTCACCAGCGAAAAAATTTGTTGTAAATAAGTCTTTCATCAAATAAAAGTGCCCTTTACAATTTGTTGAGATCCTAATTTTGCAATACCACGCTCACTTGATAAGTATTATACTCCACGTTCTACTCTGACTGCTCTCCACGTTCCACGTACTCTCTCGGCCGCAAAGATCGTCGAATATCTCGGCTGCGTCCGCAAAGAGCGAGCTAAAACTTTTAGGGATTCATAAGTGACACATGCCCAACGTGTGTGTAAAATTTAAAGAAAATCTGAACATCGCACTTGGAGCACTTTCCCTATTAGATCACCAACTATGAGACAAGTTAACCCCACGTCAGAGTGCTACTATTGCCCTCATTTACTTCTCTCGTTTGTTACTTGTTTAATCTTGCTTCATGTCAGACAAAATCCCAAACAAAAACTCTGATACGTGAGTTGAAATCTACCTTTTTCGCAGCGGGTTAAACCTAGTCCAGACGGCTTTACTTGTTTTCATGTGTTTCCAAAGGTTGCATCGTGGGTCTGCAATATCATTTAGAGGGAAATTGAGCTTTTAAAGCAGGGCTTCTCACGGAAATTTCAGGAAACCCACGGAGTGGCCTACATTTTTCTACCGCGATAATTTCGGAATTGCGTCAATTTCGGGACGGTAAATATACTCCCGGACATATCTCTCTGACCACCCTGTAGCCCGGCTGTTAACTGAGCTACATGGTCCAAATTTTATCTGCCCAATCAGAAAGAGCTACAAAGCATGTGGAAAAACGGAATTTTTTATATTTGCACTTTAAGGGCATTTGTTTGGGCATTTTAAAAAAAATGGTGGACAAAACTTTCTGATCACTTAGGTAAATTGTTTGTAACTTCCGAAAAATGTTTGATACGGGGCTAAAACCGATAATACTGCATAGCACAGACATAGACACATATATCTATGGCAAAAAATTGGGGAGTAGCAACATACGTCGCAAGGGGTTGCGCATTCTGCGCATTACGTGATTTTGTTAGTATACGACGGCTCGCGGTGGGCTAGAAGGATAAAAAACGCACAGGATTATGTAATTGGTCACACATAGTCAATCTCCGTCCATCATACCGAGGGATGTTAAGGGTTTCATCAAGCATGTGCAAAATCATTACAAAAATGACCAGCCGGCCGGACTTTAGCGGCCTGTAACTTTTTCAGAATCAGCCCAAACTGGCTGAAATTAAACATGGCTTAGCCCTACATAATGTAGAATAAAGCTATATTGGTGCTGACCCGGGCTTATGAAATGTCGAGGTGAAACTCCAGGAAAACGCAAACTTGAGGATTTTTTGGCAAATTTTGACCATTTCGTAATTACAAAATCGGAACAGTTGCGTTTTTTTCGGATTTTGCGTCAGTGCGCGCATGAAATGCAAAGGTAACGGGAGATTGTTATCCTACATTCTTCAGTATGCACCAAAAAGTACTGTAGGGGATTTCCAGACTGATTTAATAAAAACGCCTGCGGTTATGATCAATTATTTAGAGACCGGCTTCTACCAAGTGGTTTGCTTAAGGCGTTGATGGCATACTTCACATCGCAGGGCAGTAAGATTATGTATCACTAACTCCAACGAGTCTCTTATTGCTTTTTCTAAAACAAAAGAGTCGTCGTTGCCGCATAGGGCGTGATTTTAACGAGAAAAAGAGCGCTGCAAGAATACGAGTTGCTTGAGGGCACACGCCGAATTTGGTGGTAAAAAGCATACCCATCGTCCTTGTAGGTCCCTTAATAGTGTTCGAAGATAACTGAACCATGTCGCTTACTCAAGGAGACTGAGAAAACTTTAGTTATTTTAGGTGATCAGAAAGTTTTGTCCACCAATTTTTGAAAAAACCTGCATAACTCGCCTAAGGACAAAGACACAAGAAACATTTTTATGTGGCAGACTCTGCCTGCTATGACTAGTATACATGCCTAGTTTCAAAGTGATTCCGTTATATTCACTTGAGATATGGGTGGTCAGAAATTTATGTCCGGGAGTATAATATGTCAAGCAGTTGTGTTCTGCATGCAGTTTTAACGCAAGTGCTAATTGTGAGATCAGACTGAGAATGAGCAGCATATTGACCGCCACAAATTTTACCTCGCCCTTGCTGGTGTAGCCATGTATTCTGACATTTTTCCGATAGCTTTCGTAAACCGAAGGGACTACAGTGAGAGATATGATCCAGTGGCAAAAACCGTACCATATTGCATCCGGGAAGTATCAACAATGCGGCAAAATGCTTCCATCTCCAAGTGAAAAAAGCTTCGGTTTGAAGGGCTCGCCCCATCCCTCACTAAAAGAGCGGGCGTGCTTTTGAAATCGGAGTTTTTTCACTTGGAGAGGGAAGCATTTTGCCACATTTTTGATACTTCCCGGAGGCAAAATGATACGTATTTTGCCACGGAATCAGGTCCCCCACTGTACATACGTTACGCCTAGACAAAATCGGCTTGACAATGTGAGTCGTGTCCCTTTACAGAAGCCCTTCTTTTCCCTATATGTTATAACTTACGAGTAAACTTGCTTGCTATGAAAATCGCCCATTTTGAACTCATTAGCCTTTGCGAGACTCAAAAATTCTCCCGCCTACTCCGTGAACCTCGATTCTAAACACCGTTCAGTCTACAAGCATGGGTGATCAACACCACAGAAAGCGCTACTCGGTAAGCTCGATGCCAATCCGGCCAGAAGAGTTCCGAATGAGAGTGGCGTTGATGTCCGAGGTGGAGAAGAGTATCCATCATGCAGGTCAAGTCCAAGTCCTGGTCAGCTCGGATAGGAGTGGTCTTCATCGAACTTCAATCGTGTCTTCGGCCTTTGAATTTCAAAATGCCGATCAAATCTTGGACTATTTAGGTAAAGAAAAATTCTTAACTTTGGCTGCAGAAATTCGAGTTTGTTTACCAGTCTGTCGGGAAAATAATGTGGATTTGTCGCAACAAAATGTATCGCTTCAACGCAATCACATACCGTCGCAAAGCGATGATGGGCGATTCCATGGCGCGACGAATCCACATTATTTTCCCGACACACTGATATGATAGATTTTGATGACAAAACAGTGAATTTTTCGATCTTGTTAACTCTCTTTAAATCAGCAATCAACATTTTTCAGGTTTCAAATCACCCATAATTCTCTACACAATCCTCTGCATGGCCGTTTGTTGGAGCCTGGCGATCATGACAATTATGTGTTCCCACTTCTATGAGACCGGGATTGAATGTGAATATGGCGACAGAAAATGCGCCGCAGAAGCAAACGAGATGAAAACAATCGAAAAACAGTTCTTTTCTGGGAAAGATAAATGGTTGGGGCCGGAATGGTCGGCTTCAATATTCTTTATTGGCGATCTTTTAGGTGGAATTACGCTGAGCTACTATGCTGATGTGTAAGCTCTTGAAACATCAAGTTCGGCGGCATAGAGCGTTAGCTTCTTATACAGTGGCGGACCTGCTCCAGTGGCAAAAAACGTACCATTTTGTATCCGGGAAGTATCAAAAATATAGCAAAATACCTCCCTCTTCAAGTGAAAACACTCCCATTTCAAAAGCATCCGCTCTTTTTGAGAGTATTTTTAGCAGGAGAGGGAGGTATTTTGCCATATTTTTGGTACTTCCCGGATGCAAAATGGTACGTTTTTTGCCACTGGATCAGCTCCACCACTGTTGTTCGATAAATTTCAGGCATGGTCGGAAGAAAATAGTCTTCCCATCCATGTTTGTCATGGGATTTCTCCTCATTGTCTCCACCTTTGCCACCACTTTAATTGGATTTTTGGTTCTTCGATTTATGGCCGGATTTTTTCTTACTGTAAGTTATCCCCGATCCATTGTAATCAGTCGATCCTAGGCCTCATTCGTGATAGTTTGGGTGCACGCCAGCGAATGTATCAGCGCCAGGTATCACGCAGTTTTATCCGTTATTTTCGGCTTCACCTGGGTTATTGGCTATGCTTGTGTTGCATTGATTGCAACATTCCTCCATGATTGGAGGCAAGCAACGATTATTGTGGCTGTTCCTCAGCTCATTATCTCGTTTTCTCTCTGGTTGTAGGTTTAAAAAAATATGACCTCTGATTTTAATGCGTATTTTACAAAAATTTCAAAATTTTAGCACTATCCCGGAGAGCTTCCAGTTTGTCGTCGAGAAACGCCGAAAACAAGAACTGCACATGTGGCTAAAATCTTCGCGAAACCCCTATTTAGACCAGAATGTCAATGCGGAAAAGTTTTTGCAGACAACGCACAAGCATGTGGAGGATGAGGGAGCTGATGATCTGAGTGGATTTCTCAAGTATCTACAGGAACATACAGCAATCATAAAGATCGTCGTTATGTCCGCTTGCTTGTGGTAGGCCACGAACTAGGTTAACAAAGTCATCTGCTAACTAACGACACCGAATATGATCAAATATATTAGAATTACTCATCCAATTTTAGGATCTTCACTTTCCTCTGGTACCTCGGACTTTCGATGCAAAGTACATCCTTGGGAGGCGATGCATACAAAAATTTCTTACTCTCAGGACTAGTTGAGATCCCAGGGCATATTATTAACCCACTTTTGATCAAAAACATTGGAAGGAAACGGACCACAGTCACAGTTTATACGCTCGGAACGGTCTGTTTACTCGGATTGTCCTATATCGAAGACAGTAAGTTAATCTCTAAGCATGCAGTTTGGAAACAACGTGAATGTCAAAGACAATTCTATTAGCCATGGGATGATACCTTATACAGCTATAAAAAACCAGGAGATAAGCTAAAAACATTATTTTAGCTCACTCCGACCTGTACCTATATGTTTGGATGTCGGCCAAGTGTTTATCAGCCGCCGCATTCATGAACCTATTTATAAACGGCGCAGTAATTTTCCCCACAGCTATTCGAAACTCAGCAATGGGAATCTGCGCCGTCTGCAGCAACATCGGAGCTTCAATCGGTCCCCATGTACCTCATCTGGTAAGATACTATAAAAATACCCGGAAAACCGACAAACTGCCTAATCTATTTGTAAAATCACAAGCTGTCTGTTTCAGAAGAGGTTTGGCCATCCTGTTCCATGGATTGTGTTCGCTCTGGCGACAGCAATCAGCGGAATGTTGGCCAATTCCATGCCAAAACCCGACCTAGAGGACGAAGAGCCAACAGTCAACGGATACGTCGAAGTTCCACTTGATGAGGAAGTGTAGGGAAGTGTAGCACTTCAGACTTCCATCTTTGACGTCGCTACCTCAATTTCCCTCGTTTTTCAATAAAATCGTTTCGAAAATAAATCAATAGTGACATTGTGCCTCGCTATTATCGGTTTTTCTATTTTCTTGCCAAACCACAAGACTTCTCGTTTTACACGCACGTTTTACCGATGTTCTTATCAAATATCGGTGAGAGTTGTGTAGTAATTACACTGATTAGGTGAGAATTGAGTAGCTGTTTATTATACATTACTTTTTTCCCTCCAAAGTCTTTTCGACTTCGCCCGGAACATTGCTTTATTTACAAGTTCTTCCAGTGTTCGTTGCTGCGTGCGGAAATCGAATTGCACTGAATGTTTGCTTTGAAAGTGTTTTTCTTTGCTGTTATGATCGATTTTTTGTTGGAAAAGAACTTCAATTTTTGGCCTAGTATAATATCGAGAATTCTCTCTCCAAACGTGATTTTGTTACAACCACAAGCCGCTGATTGATTCTCTTCACGTTGTTTTCCATCTTTTGCGGGTTTCTCTATGTTTTCCGATTGAAATTTGGTCAAAACGCAAGTTCATATAAACGTCTGGTTTTGCGTGAAAAAAATCAAAATTTCTTTTTTATTTTTTATGACATCTGATGGTTAGACACTATTCATCGCGACCTTTTCAATTTTTCTCCCCTACGTTGAGTTTTGATCCTTTAATTTTTAGAATTATCTTGTACAATGTCCACCGGACAGGGTGGTGTTAAAAATCGACGAATTTCGTTGGGTTCTCCCAAGGATTTGAAGGAAGTCCACTTTTTTGAGGAAGAAGATGTCCCGGTAGTTCCACCAACCGGAGCTCGAGTCAAGGTAAGGCTTTGTTTCTGATTTTTTTTTGTTTTTTAGGTATACCTTGTCGAGTTTAAGGGAGATGGTTATTTCTCTCCCGATAAAGATTTTAGTGGCTAGATTATAGTCTTATATTTGTTTCAGGTCTGTTATGCGGGTGTTTGCTTGACCGAGAAAGAGATCACAAATACCAAACAAGCCAGAATCACCAATGGAGTCAAGGATACTAGTCTTTTCCCAGGTGAGATTTCTTTTAGTCAAGTAAAGATCCCAAAAACTTGTAATGCAATGAAGGACCGTCTAACTGATCCATGAATTCAGGTTACGAGGTCTCCGGAGTTGTCGAAGCTTTCGGCGAGGAGGCCAAACCCGAAGAGTATGATCTGAAAGTGGGCGACAAAGTTATTGTCTGGCCAACTGATGAAATGACCAAGCATGGCTATGCCGACTATGTCTCTGTCCCTCAGCTCTCGTTGCTTGTGAAGATCCCGGATTCGATGTCAATGCACGTGGCTTCGATCCTCCCAGCTGGAGCCACTTGGGCCCTTTCAGCTGTCGTCCATGCTCGCCCAATCGTTGAGGCGTTGGCTGCCTCAAAGGGCTTCTGTAACATTTTGATTGTTGGAGCTGGAGGTCTTGGGTTATGGCTGTTGAAGCTTGCCAAACATTTTTTGGTCCAGCCGGATAAGAAGATCAAAATCATGGTGGCCGACGCCAAGGAAGAAAGACTTTGCTTGGCTGAGAGGAATGGAGCCGACTTTGTGGTTCATTGGGATGATTCTGGTGAGTTATTTGAGAGGTTTTTGTTTTGGATTTTAGGCAAGAAGTTGAATATGAAGGCCAAGGATAATGTTGATAGGTGTCTTGATGTTACACTAGAGGCCTATAACAATCTTCTTCAAAATATGATGTCTGATCTCCTTTCAGAGTTCGAAGAGTACCTAATCATGCGAACCAAGGATGTGGCGCGTACTGGAGTCCAGATCGTCTTCGATTTCGTCACATCTCCCCGAACTGTGACCCGTTCTCTCAAGTGCCTAGTGGAAGGAGGAGTCCTCTTTGTCGGAGGTCTCTCTGGTCTCGATGTCCAACTCCCCATCAAGATGGTGGCCCACAATCGACTTGCCATCATGGGAGTGTCCCGCGGTTCCATCGATCAGCTCAAATCCTTGGTCCATTTGATTTCGGACGGACAAATTGAGGCGCCCGACTACAGAATCTACCCCGTAAATCAAGCCTCGCAAGTCCTGAGACAGTTGAGTATGTCCGAAGTGGAGGGACGCGCCATTCTGGAGGTCTGGGACCCCGACAAGCCTGCGGACGCCGAGAAACCCCAACAGTGAACTTATTTTTGTCGTTACACAGTAACTTCTTCTTTATTGTAATAGGTGCCATACACCATCAGTTGGACATTTTTTTTGGTTGGGTATGTATAATCAATAGCTTTTCATGAATTCGTAAACTTGTTGATACAAAATGCATTTTTTGGCTATAAAATTTATATTGTAGTAGACGGAGGATGTGTTATCCATAATATATTATCCATACCCAACCATTCCCCCCATATTTTTAGGTCTTCCCCCCGAAACTGGGTCCATCAACGCCCCCAACCCTACTGGTCGTTAATAAATTGTAATTTGTAAACCGAGTATATTTTGTAGCATCTCACCTGTAGATATTGCTATAAGCTTAGTTTCCAATAAAAATTTTTGTAATTTTGTCTTCGAGAAATGTTCAGAAAAGTTGTCGGCTTGTAGAATATTGAATTAACGGACGATTGAAGGCTATTGTTGAAGTTTCCATGACCAAAAAACATAATCTTCCGGAATCGGCGGCCAAATCCCCGAAAATGGGATTCGAGGTGCGCTCAAAGTCGGGTCGTCTCCGTCATGGCCTCCTCAAACTGCCACATGGACCGGTGTCGACCCCGGTCTTCATGCCCGTGGGCACTCAAGGAACGATGAAGGGAATCCTGCCGGATCAAATGAAGGACCTGGGTTGCGAAATTTATTTGAACAACACTTATCATCTTGGACATCGGCCGGGATACAAACTGCTGAAGGCCGCCGGAGGGGTCCATAAATTTCAACAGTGGAATGGGAATTTGTTGACGGACTCGGGCGGATTTCAGGTTCGTGATTTTGCGATGTTTGGGGTTTGAGGGAAACAGTTGACACCTTTTGAGACAAGTGTTTCTCTTCCGGAAAATGTTTGATTTTTGGATGGTAAACTATGCCTATATATCTGAAATGACTTTTTGAAAGAAAAATAGGGGCATTTACGTAGTTTAACATAGATTTTTCTATCATAATTTTCGTTTTTTCCAAGAAAATCAACAATGATGTTGTAGATGGTGTCCTTGAGCAACTTGATGGAAGTCACGGAGCACGGAGTCCGATTTGAAAGCCCACATACCAAGGAAATGATGGATTTAACGCCGGAGCATTGTGTTGAAATCCAAGAAGCTATTGGCGCCGATATCATCATGCAACTTGATCATGTCATCCCTTCGTTAAGTACTGGCCCCATCGTTGAAGAAGCGATGCATCGGTCGATACGTTGGTAATCAAAGAGCTAATGCCCTTCGAAGTCCCTTGGCACAGATATTTATGCGTTAATTTCAGGTTGGATCGATGTATTTCGGCTCAAACCCGCGATGATCAAGTGTTATTTCCGATTATCCAAGGCGGTCTGGACCTGGAATTGCGCGCCAAATGCACGAAGGAGATGCTGAAGAGGGTCAAGGTCGGGATTGCAATTGGAGGTAGCTCTTTGAAATTGGGAAAAATCGAAAAATCCTAATTTTTTCTGATAATTTAGTGTTATGTTTGATTTTGAGGTCTAAGCGGCGGCGAATCGAAGGACCACTTCTGGCGGACGGTCGCAAAATGCTGTGAGTTGGTCCCAGAGGGCATTCCACGATATGTGATGGGTGTGGGATGGCCCGTGGACATGGTTATGGCGGCGATTTTGGGCGCGGACATGTTCGATTGTGTTTATCCGACAAGGACTGCAAGGTAGGTGAAATTTCCCTTGCTAAATGGAAGAATTATACCTTAATAGGGTCAGAAATTCAATTTACATCGATCTGTGGGACTTTTTGAGTCGGCTTTGACCTTGTACTAGACAAAATTTGCAATTTTTTTTATAGTTTTTTCAATTTTTTTGACGATTCTTACTGGTTGTTAGATTTGGCACGGCTATAACTCGAAAGCACGGTGAACTTAACCTAAATCAGACACGCTTCGCTAAAGACTACGACCCGATTGATAGAGATTGCACCTGTGTGACTTGCCAAAGACATTCCAGAAGCTATCTGCACAATATTATTGGACAAGTAAGTGTCAAAAAGTCTTGCAAGAAGTCAAAAAAAGGGCTTGGAATAACGTAATTCGCGTTGTTTGTAAATAATTCGGGGTTTTTGAACTTTTAAAAACGTCAAAAAGTCGTTGAAATTGCAATTTCAACCATCAAACCCACATGACCTTTGGTTTTCGCTTTTTTTCGATTTCATTCGTTGAAAGGCACCCGCCGCCACGTGGGTGAGTGTTCCCCGGACCAAGTGGGCACAACTGTCAGACGAACACACAAGTGTTTTGATGACGAAACTTGCACTTTTAATAGAGGAATCACGTAAATCCGACGAAAAATTGGACTCTTGATTGAAGAGACCTCGTGCTTTGCCTTGGCATGAGGCTAGGTGAGAGATTGAGGTATTATTGGAAGCCTGTAGGGGCTAGACATTCTGCACTGTTCGATTTGAAGTTGATCTTGCACAGGGCAATCGATAAAGTGAACTTTTCGCACAGTGCAGTAAAAAATCTCATTTTTTTGCTTGCGCAGTGCAAAAATTGCATCCTCTGGACTATAATGTCTCAGTGATTATAACTTACTGTTGTGAAGGGTGGCTTATTTTAGAGGTTAATTGAAAGGCAACCCGTCCAAATGGTAGGCGGCATAAAAAGTAAGCTGTGACTAGCCATTTGGATGAGTTGCATATCAAATTAACCTCTTAAATAAGCCACTCTTCACAACAGTAAGTTATAATCACTGATAGATTATAGTCCAGGGGATTCAATTTTTGCACTGCGCAAGCAAAAAAGATACGATTTTTAGCTGCACTATGCGAAAAGTTTACTTTGGCGATTGCATTGTGCAAAATCGACTCCAAATGGAACAGTGCAGAATTTCAAGCCCCTACAGGCTTGTAATAATACCTCAATCTCTCACTTAAGTTCATGCCAAGGCAAACCACGAGGTCTCTTCAATCAAGAGCCTAATTTTCGTCGGATTTACGTGATTTCCTGTATGAAAAGATCAAGTTTCTACTAATAACTATAGTGCGGGACCTGATCCAGTGGCTAAAAACATATCATTTTGCATCCGGGAAGTATCAGAAATGTGGCAAAATGCTTCCCTCTCCAAGTGAAAAAAACTGAGATTTCAAAAGCGCGCCCGCTCTTTTTTATGAGGGAAAGGGCGCGCCCTTCAAAATTGAGTTTTTTTAGTTGGAGAGGGAGGCATTTTGCCACATTTTTGAAGCTTCCCGGATGCAAAATGGTACATTTTTTGCCACTGGATCAGGCCCGTCACTGTAATTTCGTCTCTATGATGTTTTTTGATCAAAAGTCAAATTTTTCCCTGCGGGGGCTAGCAGGGATTGATTTTTTTGCCCAATGGAATCAACCGTCACCTTATTTTTGACTAAACTTTACTGAATTGGTCCAACAATTACATCAAACCATTCCAAACCCTTCATTAAACTTTCGGCTAAAAGTCAAACCGAATTACAGTCGCTGCTCTCAACGGCTTTTGTCGTGGAAATGGTCCGTCTGTCTTACATCATGTTGCATCAGGTTTTCAATGAAATTGCAGGGTTCGGGGATTCCTTTTCTTGGCTTTTTCTTTGCTTTCACTGATTTGTTATCAGTGAATTTTTATTATAGGTGCTTGAGGAAGGCCGCAAAAAATCACGTAAATGAGATTTTTAAGTCAGAACGTGAAGGATGACTTCAAATTTGGAGGAATTTTGATCGAAAAATTTGAATTAGACTCTAAAATGCATATTTAACTAGGTTTTACATCAAGATCCTACTTTTTCAACGGCTAAATTAGTGAATTTACCATTTTACACTAGAAAAATCGAGAAAAAACAAACATTTTTTTGCAAAATTTGATATTGTCATAAGTCTGCCCTATCAACTGTAGATGTAATATTACAGTCGAATTCCGAAAAGGTCTTTCCCGAACTTTAAACCCCTTCAAACTTTGGCTTTACACCCAATGACCTTCACAATCATGTTATTTCATATCAGTTTACAAAAAGACTAGCCTTCTTCGCCGATAAAATCGAATCGAAACTTTCGCCGGAAAACAGAAACCCAGACTACGAAAAAGCCAGAAACTTTTTGAGCAACTGAAAACTTTCAGGAAGCCGTCGCCTGTCATCTCATTTCCATCCACAATATTCACCATCACTTGGAGTTGATGCGGCGAGTCCGCAAAGCCTGCGATGAGGATAAGGTCCACGAATTTTTGAAGGAATTCGTCGAGGAACAGTATCAATCCGCTGGGCAGGCGCCAAAATGGGTGCAGGAAGCGTGTGAATACGCGGGATATCCGATAATTTGAGGGAAAGCACAGTGGGGGACCTGATCCAGTGGCAAAAAACGTATCATTTTGCGTCACGGGAAGTATCAAAAACGTGGCAAAATGCTTCCCTTTCCAAGTGAAAAAACTTCGTTTTGCGCCCTTTCCCTCACAAAAGCATGGACGCGCTTTTGAAGTCGGAGTTTTTTCACTTGGAGAGGGAAGCATTTTGCCACATTTTTGATACTTCCCGGATGCAAAATGGTACGTTTTTTGCCACTGGATCATGTCCCCCACTGTAATGGGCAATCCATTTTTTGTTGATTTTTTTTCACTTTTTCGTTATGACGGATCTCTAGCAAATAAAAAATGAGCTTGTTATTTACATTATCAGCTCTTTTCTAGCCAATTATTTCTTTGATAAATATCGTAAAAATCTCAAAATTTCTGTCAAGCTCCCCTGTTTTAAAATTCTCCTTTATATTTCTTATCAAAAGACAAGTTAGAGGGTTCAAAATGACCGGTTATCAAAAAGAACGAAGACATTGAAAACGGGTTCAATTCTGAGAAAAAAGTGATAAACAGTTAGATTGAGCATGAATTGCCGCGACTTCCAAGAGGTCTTGGAGGTTGGCTAACAGTAAAAAACTACTACTTAGAGGGTCTATCACTATAGGAACAAGACTGAAAACTCGGGAAACTAACCAAACTGCTTTCACTAAAATAACAAATGATTCAGGTGCCTATTAAAATTTCGGCCCAATTCGGACCTAGTATAACATGGATAAGACAATAAAAAAACAAGACAAAACAATATCACCAAGGCTTTATAAATTTAACACTATGCCTAAAACGCCTCGCGCCTTCTTAGGTGAAGGTGAAACCGCTGGTTCTGTAGGTGTGGTAGACCTTTTCGATGGCGTTGGCGTAGGCGGCGGTGCGGACGTCGAGGCCGAGATCGTATTTGCGAGCGGTGCGGATGATGGCTTGTCCCGAGCGTTGCATGGTGTATTCCAGGCCCGAGTGGACAATGTCCTTCTCGGAGGCACCGGAGATGCGAGCCTGGAAGGGGGACGAAGGTTCGACGGGGACCTTTTTGCCCAAGGCGCGTTCCAGGGATTCTTGGACCGAGCCTGAAAAAAATCAACCATATTTTTTATTCCAATACACTCATCAGCCTCTATGATACATTTTTTTGATAAACCTTTTAGCTAAACCGCTCAAAACAATATAAAAATTTCCAAACTCACCCAAAAGGAGGTAGTTGGAGTCTCTTTCATATTTGAAGGTGAGCCGACCGAAGGAGACGTGGTTCAAGTTCTTCAACCACTCGAAGAAAGAGACGGTGACACCACCAGAGTTGACGAACATGTCTGGGACGATCAAGCAGTCACCTCTGGCCAAAAGAATCTTGTCAGCGGCCGGGGTGGTTGGTCCATTGGCGGCTTCGGCAATGATCTTGGCCTGGATCTTGTGCGCATTTCCCTTGTGGATGGCTTTCTCGCAGGCAGCCGGTACCAAGATATCGCACTTCTCGAAGATCAACTCCTCATGACGCTCAAAGTTCTTGGCGCCGGGGAAGTCCTTGATGGTGCCGTTGGCGATCTGGTAGTCTTCCAGTTCCTTGGGATGGATTCCGTCAGGGTTGTAGATGGAGCAGTTGTATTCCTGGACGCCAACGCACTTGGCTCCATCGCGGTGAAGATAACGCATGGTGTGGAGGCCGACATTACCTGAAAATTACGCAAAATTAGCAAAAATCAAAAAAAATTCTACAAAAACCGGCACATTTTCGCATTCTAAACCCTATTCCGGTCCAAAGCACATCCATCTAAATCCATTTAGGATCAAAAATCGAGCAAAATTACATTATTTTATATCCATCTCCCCCTAATCCCTAAAACAAGACGCTTACCGAATCCTTGGATGATGAAAGTCTTTCCAGCCAACCCAGTGGTCAGTCCAAGCTTTCCCATGTATTCTGGGTCGGATGTGAACACTCCAAGACCCTTCCACACACCTCTTCCGGTGGCCGAAACTCTTCCGTGAATACCTCCCGCGACAATCGGCTTTCCGGTGATGCAAGCCGAGGCGTCCTTGTCCATGTGTCCAGTGGTCTGGGCATAAGTGTCGGCGATCCAGGCCATCTCGCGTTCGCCGGTTCCCATGTCGGGCGCGGGCACATCCACTCCGGGGCCGAGGAATCCCTTCTTCGAGAACTCGATGGCGATTCGCCGGGTGATCTTCTCGATTTCGTAGTCGGTGTATTGGCGGGGGTCGATCTTGACGCCTCCCTTGGCGCCTCCGAATGGGACGTCGACAACGGCGCACTTGTAGGTCATCAGAGCGGACAAGGCCTTCACTTCGTCTTCACAGACATCCAACGAGTAACGGATACCTCCCTTGGTGGGGGTTCGGTGCTCCGAATGCTGCGCTCTCCACGCCTCGATGATCTGGTACTCTCCGTTCTCGCGGCGGATGGGGAATGTGATGTAGAGGACCTGGAAAAAAGTTGTCAATGTTTATACAGTGGGGGACCTGATCCAGTGGCAAAAAAAGTAGCATTTTGCATCCGGGAAGTATCAAAAATGTGGCAAAATGCTTCCCTCTCCAAGTGAAAAAAACTCAGATTTCAAAAGCGCGCCCTTCAAAACGAAGTTTTTTCACTTGGAGAGGGAAGCATTTTGCCACATTTTTGATGCTTCCCGGATGCAAAATGGTACGTTTTTTGCCACTGGATCGGGTCCGTACTTTACCAAGCCCATCATATAGGAAAAATCTTCAAACTGCCGCTTAAAACGCACCTTGTTGACGGGCTTGATGCTGTGCAAGATACCGCGAACATAGTTCTTCTTATCAGCGGGGCTCATGGTGCGCGATTTCAGCTCCTCCACCAACTTATTTTCAATGACTTGGGCTCCCTTGTCGAAGTAATGGTCAACCATCTTGAAGAACGAGGGGTTCAACTGCTCGTCCATGGGCTTGGCCGCATCCGACACCTGGTCGTGGGGGTCCAGGGTGGCCGCCGAGTACTGGCGCACGGTGCGCAGCACAACTCCACGTCGGGCCAGAACCGGTAGCATGACTCAACCTTAAAGTAGACCCATCAGTAAAGGCAAGAATCATCTCCTCTATAACACATTTTCACGGAATTCAACTCGATTTAAAAGGTCAATTCAATAAAATTCCGGCCTTGTCGTATTCAGTTTTCTAAAGATTTCAGCCAAAAGAATGAACAGATAAAAGTGCAAGTGTTCAGCGAGTGCATTTGTGAGTAAAAAACGCGCCAGGACGGGATAACAAGAGAGGACGTTTTCTAATCCGAAAAATCCCAAATGAAGAGAGGAATTCGGATAAATGGAATTACAGGGTGACCCAAAATAACGGAGACAAAAGATTTCAAGTTTTTCCTGCGACTTTTTAAGATTCATGAGTGAATCCTTATTTATACTGCAGTACCATGTTAGAGTAGTTTTATATACCGGAAGTTTTGTTGTACGACGCTCTTCTGCCTTGAACGACATGAATATATCCGGTTGACTCGGACCCTTCTGCCCGTGGGGTCTTTTTACAAGAAAGCTTCCTTACTCAAAAAAGAAAACTCGGAATAGTTTGAGATTTCCTGGGATTAATTATCATAATAAGACCTTTAAAATGAGCTATCGTACTAAGCTTAACTATCGATGGTTCAAAAGTTACAGCCGAGTATTTTCAGGCAGTTAAAGTGCAAAAATCGGCCTTTTTTGAAAATGTAAGCGTAAGAAGGAGTCTAAACGTTAGATATGGCAAAATGTAATATGAGTTACTAGTACATGATTAAAGGAACACCATAAAAGCAAAAGAGAAACATTTTGTAACTGCTACGGAATGTTATTTGGTAATCACTAGAATTCGGCCTTATTTTTGCCTTAGGCGGAATACCGACCGAGCCGGTGACACATAAAGACCGAACGTTCCCTAGGCTGATTCTCAAGAGTCGTATTCATAAGTATACAGGAGCACAACGCGCCGTTTTTATCTATCTTGTCATTCTGTTATCGATAACCCATCTTTCTCAAAGCTGCGTGCCATAGGGAAGTTCTGGGCGAGAAACTTGTTAAGGAAAAGCTGTTGCAGCCAGCAAGCAATCACAGTTTTTTTCAGAATCATTGTATTTATGAATAGAACACGTACTAGCGGTTTTAGCTTTATTCGAAAAAACCTGAATTTTTTATGGAAAAAATTTGGAAAAAATGGCGATCTTCAATGTTTAGATCGGTACCACCGGAGAAATAAAAATCGCAGCCCAAAAACCTACGCAACTGCTTCCTTAGGAACATAGTAGTCTAACAAAACAAATGAACTTGCCATTTCAGCTGCTGTAGTACAGCCAGGCTTTACACAACACAAGGGAACCAAAATTGAGGGCCAAAAAAACGGCGCAAGGCATCTTTGTTAAGCTGTAACTTTTTACTGCGACATGATGATTCCACCAAATTTTCGTGGATTATAGAGAAGGTGTTATAGAATATTACCCGCTGTCGCTTATGTTTCTCTAACGCCCGGTTTTCGCGGTGGACCCTTCAAAAGTTTGTCTCCGTTATTTTGGGTCACCCTGTAGATACCCATTACTGATGCAGATTCGTTTGTCACAATGATTTGTGTATATATATATATTCGAACAGGCCTGCAGTGGGGGTTGCTACCTGATCCAGTAGCAAAAAACGAACCACTTTGCATCCGGGAAGTGTCAAAAATGTGGCAAAATGGTTCTCTCTCCAAGTGAAAAAACTCAGATTTTAAAAGCACGCCCGCTCTTTTTGTGAGGGAAAGGGCGCGCCCTTCAAACCGAAGTTTTTTCACCTTGGAGAAGGAAGCATTTTGCCACATTTTCGAAGCTTCCCGGATGCAAACTGGTACGTTTTTTGCCACTGGATCAGGTCCCTAACTGTACATGAAACTAAGTTTATGTCTAAAACAGCTAGATCAAGACTTCCACATCTCACTGCAACTACCAGACATCGTCAAGACATCCGATTCAACTCTTAATATATCCGGCAAGCACTAACTACATCAATTTCTCTCTGACCTAACCAAAAATCGAGCACTCCTTAGCCTACACCTCAACGCCCATTCCCAACCTGTAAGTGAATCGAGTTGGTTCGTCTTTGAAAAAATCATAGGCGGCCCCAACCACCCCCTTTCCGTCTTGTCTTCTTTTTGTGTCGTTTTTTGTTGGCGGGGACAGGGAAGCACGTGGAGCCTGCAAGTGGGGTGAGGGGTTCACTCCGTCTGCTGGAATCCCGGCCGACCTAACACTTCGTATGCTCATGTTTTTGGCCATTTGGACTAAGTTCTTCGTCTAGTCTCCGGGGGCCAAAAACAAACGTGGAACGTGAGATGAAAGCACAAACAATTGACCCTCTGTTGACACGAGCTTTTCAACTTTTTTCAATCAAATTTTGGCCAATTTTGAGCGATAAAAGAGGTAAGATTAACCATTGCCGCGGCTCTGAGGCCCTCGTGAGATCACAAGCATATCCGTCAAAACAAACCGTCCGTTGAGAACGACCACCCAACTAGAAAGCAGCGAAAACTTAAGAATCACTATCAATTCCTTCATGGATAATGTCCGCTGAATTTTTGGACGAAATACCTTTCCGGATATGTCATCAATCCCGATCAAATGCAAGGAGGACTAGATAAAAGTGCTACCTGACTTAAAGACACACGATTCAGCAACAAAACAAAACTATATTACACTTGACATCTCTCACCAAGAAAACACAAGAAGCCTGACAAACCAACTCAAGATATTTACTGCCACACCTCCAGTCTTTAGCAATTTAATTAACCTGGACCGGACACGAGAGCTCAGGCAGAGATCGAAGACCAAAAGCGGGGCGTTTCGAATCGCCCAGCAAACTCCACCCGCCGAAACATTCACTCCTTCTTTTTATCAATTTCTTTCGGCCGACGTCACAGAATCAGGAATCGAAATTCGCGGGAACCATGTCCTAGACCCATTCCAACGAGAGAGAGCGCCGAGAAGAAACGATTTCATGACCATCATTTTGTAATAGATAATATTTGTCGAACTCCGCCGTTTTTATCAATTCGAGGCTTGATCTTAGGTTCATACGTGACAGATCCAAAGCGTTGGGTGTTTACGACGGTTACATCATGTTTGGTAAACAACTGCTTGATCAGAATAATCGAAAAACCCGATCTTTCAAGGTTGGGATCACAGAAAACGAAAAATCTTGCGACTATTTGGCGAAAAGGGGAAGTTTCCCATGATTTTAGGAACCGGAGACAAAAACACTTCCTGTTATGATATCAGAACCGACGCTATCTAAAAAACAAACAAAAAAGGGCAAGTAAAGTTCATACCTTGGATATTCACCTTCTCAAAGCGCTTACCACCAACGAGGACAAACACCACAAACCGGCAACCGAACCGACCGAGCGAATAAAGTAAAAAAGCAAGATCCCGCATCGAAAATTCGGATGGGAATCTATGCAAAATTAAAAGGCCAAAAATAAGGCAAATTCGGTGTGATCACGAAAATTTTTGTCAAGTCGAGCTTGAAAACGTCTAAAAAATCAGGTGAGGAGACTAAAATTTCAGTTGAAAGTGATTTTCATAACTGACATCCAGTAAAAAACGGCTTGATAGGGCCTGACGGCTTGAGTAAGTAATATAAACCATGAAAATTTTTATGAAACGGATCTTAAACACCTCGTAGAATAACGAGGATCATAATCTCGCATGCGAGAAGGATAATCTACTCGATTATAACAATCACTAAAATTTTTCCGGACTTTTGGCCAATTTTTTACCTCAACGTCTGCGCCCAAGCTGCGGCGATTTGCATCGACATTTTATACGACGAAAAGTTTTCTTTTATTTTGTTGTTATTTATTATTGCGCGCACACGAATTACACAGGTTTCTACTGTGGTTTTTTGAGGATGTCTTCTATAAATAATTGCAATTTGAGTCGCCGTGATTTTTAAATTTTTTTTGGCATTTATTCTTTGTGTTATTTTCAGAGTCTCGTCTATAATTATGTCAAAATCGAGGAAACGCAAACGTCAGAATCTGTACAAGGAACTGGATGATGAGAAGAATGAAATTTTGAGGAAGTTGAATGGAAAATATGGGAGAAAAGTGAGATTATACGTTTATTTGTTGATTTTTAGGTGTGGAACTGTAAAATTTCGCTAGTACTGTCGCTGCGTAGAATTGTTACATCAGTTGTATTGGTTATCATAACATCCAAGTATAGCTCAGGGGTAATTTTTTCTTTTTCAGAAGGATGAATCGCAAGCCGTCGCTGTTCTAATGCGATCAACTGGGAAGTTCAACAATCCAAGCCATTTGGTTTTTCAGAAATACGTCGAGACTCACATGAACAGGCTGAATGTGGTGAGTAGTTTTTGTTTTTGTATTTCTGGTTTTAGTTAATCTTCCTACGCCTGGACAATCGGATTTTTACTCATGCTTGTCTTGTCTAATATAATTTATGGCTAATTTTAGCAAAACCAGGGAAATTGCGATGTTTATTTGCTCTCCGAGGTTGCAATGGTGTATTTCATCTATTTTCAGGCAGAAGAACCGGAGTACTTCCAGCACGCTAAATGGTTATGTTGTTTTTGCGGCGAGCAGAGTTGTTCATCAGAGCTCGGCGATCTCTTCGGTCCGTATTATGTAAACGGCATCAAGTTGCCTCCCTTTCTTCATAAACCAGATCGTAAGCCGAAGGATGAGTTTGATTATCTTCCGGTTGGCGAGTCTTGGAATTATGACATCTGGATGCATGCAGATTGTGCGGTTTGGGCCGACGGTCTAATATACTTTGGTGGGAAATTGTTGAATTTAGAGAACAGGCTGGCCAAGTTTTGGAAGGAGGTGAGCGGGCGATTGCCTGGTTTTAACTTAAAAATTGGCTTTTATAAAAATTTTTGCCTAGTATAATATAAAAAATTGTTGATATCTTTAAAACCAGTTTAATCTTTGACTAATGACTTTCCGCTTTTAGAAATGCAAGGTATGCGGGAAGATTGGAGCGTCGGTAACAGTCGGGAACACCAAAACTTATGTACATTATCCATGCGCTGTGAAGTCAAGTAAGTTCCTTTTGTAAATTGATGGTTTCGATGTTTAGATTACGAATTCAACCGGCTAATGCTGCAATGTGAGGCGTCATCGGTGCCAGAACCTTCAAATTCTAAGAAGAAACGAAAACTGAAGAGATCTCAATAAATAGCATTTCCAGTTTCAAACTGATTTTTGGTCATCATATCTTGTGCGGGTGTAAATAAAGTGTGATCTTGTAGAGGAGAAGGTATCTTTTGGCGATATATTGGTTTACAATCCAGTCATGATGCTTGATGGAGGCGAAGAACGGGTTTTTTGATGATTAGAGCAAGTTTTTGGATATTATCCTTCCTCTAATTGCTCTATCTTAGTGTTTTTGTGTTTACTGGGCATTTTTTGTTTTCCGAGACAGTTTAAATTGCCCGCCTAATGTGGAATTTGTTTACCCTGTCTATCGATACGAATTGCAAGTGACATATCTTTGTTGTAACATTGGAGAGACCGTTTCGCAGACCGCGGTACCGCATACAAAACGAACATGTACTACGAGAGTATATTGTGTTCATATTATAGAAATATAGGGAGTCTGGAAACGCCGAATTACACCGGTTGGGGGACATGTTAACATTATATTTTTTTTCATGTGTTTGAGAGAGGAGAGTACACGCAAGCAATCGTCCAATGTGATAACAGCCTCGGGGCTGGGGATGTGAGTGAGAGAGAGAGAGACGTTGAAAACCGTTCGGGATCTGAACCGCCGTTTGTTGGTGTGGTTGGTTGTGTTGTTGAGATCAATAAGAGAGAAAGAATAAGTTAGTCGCCGCCAAATCTGTCTTCTTCTGGGCCTGAAATCGGAGAGGTTTTAGTAAGAAGTTTGCATTAAAATTGATTTTTTCACTATGATAATGGTGCTTAGATTGATCTAGGTTATTTTTCAGACCTTGGAAAAGGTTTTAGTCCTCAGTGGAATCATTTTAGAATAGAAGAAAGGCTTGAAAATAAACTTTTCTGCAATTGATGTCTACTACAATATAGATTATTACGGAAAAGCCAATTTGACTTGTCGTACTTGTCGTAGGAGCTATTTTATATCCTTTGTAACTCTTTTTGTTGTATTGGCCGGAGATGGAGAGACCTTATACTGACCAGACAATGGAATCCCGACTGATACGCTCCATGATTTTACATGTGATTAGAGTGAATAAATTGAATTGAATTGTGACTCTCTGAAGCCTTCTCTGGTCTTAATTGAGGAGAAAGATATTTGTGTTAAACGCTAGGTACCACTTATGACCTTATCATAGTATGAAAACATCATAATTATCGTCTTACCCTTCAATAATAGGTAGGTGGTTGATTCTGAGCGCGCGCGGATTGGATCAGACGCATCAATTCGATGGCCTCCTCCTCACTCAGAGCCTGTTGTTGCTCTTCCTGCTGTTGCTCCTGAAGAAGTTCGGTGGGAACGTACGGGAGTTCGGGCAGATTCTCCATGGCGTTCTCCATCTCCAAGGCGGGTTGAAGAGGTTTCAGTTGGAAGTTGACGATCTGCGCCTCACCATGAGCCTTGTTGGTGACGTTGACGGCTCTCATCTCGGGCTGGTAGCCTTCGGCCTCCACCGCCAGCTGGTACTGTCCGTCGATGATGGGGCGGAAGAAGTCGCCGGAGAGGGCGGTCGTGACGGGGTGCTTGATGGGCGCCTCGTTCTTGGTGGAGGTCAGGTTGCGGATCCAGATGACGGCGTTCGGGATGGGCTTTCCGGTGATTTGGTCCACAACCACTCCCTTGACTCCCATGTGGGTCTAAAGGAAGATATTCGTTAATAATGAAGGCTGAGGGGCATAAATAATGGGCGATGATTCAAATTATAAAAAGGTCGGCACTCACCATCCACATGAACTCCAAGAGAGCCTTCTTATTGTCGGTCCAGAAGTTGGGCAGCTCTTCGGCCGGGGGCATCTTTTGGCAAGACAGTTCCAATGTGATTTCGAAGGCATTGGTGGCCAAGTAGTTGAAGTCTTGCATTCCACCGCTCACGGAGTACCATTTGGCTCCGTTGGTGATTCCTAAAACACTTTTTGTTAGATTTATCGCATTAAATTTTTGCACAGGAAACTCGTTTTCCGAATAAACCGTAACAGGAAGGTGGGCTGTAGAAAAGGTTTTACCTCCTTGTCGGGCAAAGTTGTCGGATGGGGTTCCATCGCAAGGAGCATGGTCGTTCTTCGCCATATGAGCATGGTTGCTGGCGTAGGTCTGCGCCAAATGGCGGAAAGTGACGTCATCGGGGGACTTGGAGTAATCGCTCATTCCCTCCATGACCGACGCGTCAAACGGATAGTTGGCCACCAAATCGCCCTCATGCAGGTTGGCTGAGAGGACGAAGGGCAAGGACAAAGTCCATTGACCAACTGCTCGCACTTCGGGCTCGTACTAGAAATGAGAACGTTGTTTAAGAACAACTCATTATACGAAGAACGTCATTATTGAGGCTGTTAGAGAGAACAGACTTACGTTCTTTTCATCCTTGAAGATGTCGAGAAGATGGTCGTAACGGCCAGCCTTCTGTTCGTCGAGGAAGAAGAAAAGTTTGTCGAGGTCGGGGAAGCCGCGATTCAAGTCGCGGCCGTTGGCGTTCGCGCGGCCAACCAGCCAGCCACGGTCTTCGGGCTTCTGAAAAAAACAAAAAGTTTGTCAACGTAAAAACTAAAACTGATATTGCGATCTTATTGAAGAGAGCGGCACAATACGATAATATCATCTAAAAAGCTTGTTTAAAATTCCTTTTCCGGAAGAAATGGAAAAGACATTTTAATCAAGCTACTGTAAAGATGATGTATATGTTTCGTGCTCGTAAGGCTCACTGTTGGCCATTTTTGGCCACCCAAATTTGATTTCCGAATCTAAACTTGCTTCGGAATTTACGTCAGCGTTCCTTCCCTAACAAAGCCTTCAAAACGAACATCAAACGCCGCCGTTATCTAACTGCTTTCATGCGTGAGCACATCAGCCACAAGTACGGCCTAATTAAACCACGATTTCAAAGTCTTACGGTGTGCAGGGCCAACTCGAATCCATCCGGATTCATGGTGGGCAGAATGTGAATGTTGGTGGTGTTGATCAGCTTGACAACGTCCTTGTTGCCGCTGTGGAACTCGTTGCACAGGTAGTCGGCCAGACGAATGAGGAGCTCGCGGCCCACGGCCTCGTTGCCGTGCATGTTACCGACGTATTTCATTTCCGGCTTGCCTGAATGTTGTTTTAGGATTAGTTGACTTGAAAAGAATTGGGGATTAAAAAAATCATTTTAATTTTGATGATTCGGGATGGTAATGATAATTTACATCTTGAATATGTAAGGAATCTCTAGGTTATCTCAAAATCTCGTTGATGAATAATTAACCGGAATAAAAAACAGTTTTTCCCACGAAATCCTACAATTCTTATAACTTGGGCTGCTTGTAGCGAAGTATTGTGGCATTAAGTAAATTTAGCTCGTAAATGATGCTATACGCATACTAATCACTATTACGACGAAGGCTCGTGGTTAGTCAGGCTTATTTTACCAGAGGTTGGTGGTCGGAAAAAAGTAGGTAAAGGGGGACCAAGGCAATTTTACAATTTTTTGCTGGTTCCCTACCTACGGCCCAAAAATTATAGCCCTCCAGAGATTTATGATGGACAGTTACTCCGTTATCTGTTAAATATTTCCGTGAGAAAATCCCCCGCAAAATCCCCAAACCCCTCGCGACTTACCGGCCTCATGAATTCCGGGGCTGGTGGAGAACTCAATCACCACCAAATCCCTTCCTTCCACCGACTTTCCGATGCTGTACAAACGCGAAACGTTGCTGCATTTCTTGGCGACCTCCATCAGTTTGGCCTCCATCGCGTCTTGGTCGTGGTAGTGGCGCCATTCGGCGCTGGCGTCCACGCTCTCGCGCGACCCGAAGCCGAACAAGCCGGCCTCGGCGACGCCCAACGCGACGGCGACCACGAAAATTGTCCGGCAAAACGACATTTTGCCAGAGAAGGGGTCGTCCAAAGTGCCGTGAAAGCGCGAACGGGACCGCTGGAGGGGGGTCTCGTGGCCGTGAAAGGGAAGGGAGGGAGTGGCGTGCCGGAGGGCAAAAGCTCTCTATTTGGGCGGAAGGCCCGGCTGGTGGGGTAGAGATGATAAGACGACTGAAAAGTGGGCAGTATAAGATGAGAGGACTAGAAAACCGGGGTCTTCTCGAATGCCCGAGGGTACAAGGAGTACACCACTGAAATTTACGTAGGACTCGCGGCAAAATAGCACGTGGAACGGGGAGGCGGTAAAGAAATGTAAAAAAATGACGTCGTTTCGGCCTTCACGGAAGAAAAACTCTATTCAAAATACGCCGTAGTTAGTACGCACAATGTTTCCAGTTTACAAAAAACTGAGAGTATGCGTAATGAAGCAGAGCGGCTTCGGATTCAATGGTGCGCACGGCGTTCGGATTACGTGACGTGCAAGCCGGGAGGCCACGTCTAAAAGCCGTCGTTCCGTTGGCTGTGTTCGGCAGGTGTTCGAGGGGAATTTATGCGCATGATACACCGTGTAGGCTGTGCGGAATGGCAACAGTACCTCGGTTTGGTTGTGGGCGTTACCTTCGGAATGTAATAAACAAAAATCTACGTGTAAATTGTAGCGCGAATTTAAAATTAAAACGTTCGAGTTTTTGTCGGAGTCATTGTGCAGTTACGGTTGAAGTATCTGCAATTGTTATCTGATTCACACACTTTCCATGCCGCTCTTAATTTCCTAACGATCACGATAAACCAATAAAAGATGAGGGAGACACGGCCCGCGGCATTGACGCAAGTAAGATGAGAATGGGGGTGACAAAAATGTTAATGACCAAAACGAGAATAAACGGGCGTCGCGACACTTGCGGGCAACCACTTTGCGGGCAACCAGTTTGCGGGCAATTTTTTTGCGGGCAACCACGTTGCGGGCAAAATTTGGGGGGTCACATTTGCGGGCAGCTGAAACATTTGCGGGCAGCTGAGACACTTGCGGGCAGCCTGGGACACTTGCGGGCAACCGACAGTTGCGGGCAGCCGACATTTGCGGGCAACCGGCACCTGAGGGTAACAGGGTAGAGGTGGAAATATTACTGCGATATTTTGAAAATTTGCCGACATTTGCGGGCAGCCGACACTTGCGGGCAGCCGACATTTGCGGGCAACAGAAAAAAACAATCACACAGACTGTATTGGTACTTTTGGAACTGTTGCCCGCAAATGTCGGCTTCCCGCAAGTATTGCCTGCCCGCAAATGTCGGAAAACTTCCAAAATATCGAAGTAATTTTTCCACCTCCACCTTGTTATCCTCAAATGCCGGTTGCCCGCAAATGTCGGCTGCCCGCAAATGTCGGCAAATTTCCAAAATATCAAGTAATTTTTCTACATCCACCCTGTTACCCTCACAATCAGGTCTCGGTTGCCCGCAAATGTCGGCTGCCCGCAAATGTCGGCAAATTTCCAAAATATCAAGTAATTTTTCTACATCCACCCTGTTACCCTCACAATCAGGTCTCGGTTGCCCGCAAATGTCGGCTGCCCGCAAATCTTCCAGGCTGCCCGCAACTGTCGACCCTGCCCGCAAACGTCCCAGGCTGCCCGCAAATGCCGGTGCTGGCCGCAAATGTCGGCTGCCCGCAAAGTGGCTGCCCGCAAAAAAATTGCCCGCAAACTGGTTGCCCGGAAAGTGGTTGCCCGCAAGTGTGCGCCCGCCAATAAACGAGGAGCAAAAGAGAGTAGAAAATATTACAAAAAAGGTTACTTTATGTTTGCAAAAATGAGTTATGACTGGCATAACGGCGGAGTCATACTTCTAAACTTACAAGGGAAGTACCCCAAGTGCGACGCGCAGATTTTCTTTAAATTTTGCACACACGTCGGGCATGGACCAAGTATCAATTCCTGAAAGTTTTAGCTCGCGCTTTGCAAGCGCCGCCGAGATATTGAACGATCTTTGCCGCCGAGAGAGCATGCTAACCGCGGAGAGTGGTCAGAGAGAAAAACGCTTTTTGGCCATAACTTCGCTAGTTTCGTACAGAAAAAATTCATTTTTTGTGGAAGCATGACCCATTACAATAGAAATAGGCATGAAACTTTTCGTGTCGAAATTCTGCAAAAAGTGTCAAATTTTCGCCGACTTTCGGTTTAAAAATCTCGGTTGTTTCTGCAAAGCGCGAGCTAATATTCTCGCATTTATCTTAGAAAAAATTATTCTAAATTTGTGCCAAGTTTCATCGAAATCTGAGCGTCGCACTTGGGGTACTTCCCCTGTTAATAGTAAATATACAGTGTTTGCTTTGGTCAGGTTTTGTCATCTTTTTGTTGACGCACTAATAATCAAATAAGATAATAACAAAATCAACAGTTGTCCCACGCTGTAAACTATGTTTCGCTTGCGGTTTAAAATACCGAATTTAAACGTAAAATGGTATTTAGAACACGCAATATTTACGAGTTCATTACATGGAAAATGTGTTCTCCAACGAAAAAAAAACAGAGTCGTTTCGACAGAGAAAATGTCTGAGTGCCATAAGGGTTGCAAAACTATAATTTAATTTATGGCCATAACAGAGATGACAATCTCATTGCTGATTGTTTTTTGCAAGGATTTCTTCGTTGAAACAGCTGACAAGGCGACGCTCAAATTTTCTTTAAATTTTCAGGGCATAGGCCATAAATTAGTCTGTCGGGAAAATAATGTGGATTCGAAACGCCTTGGAATTGCCAATCATCGCTTTGCGATGGCTAGTTGCGGCTGGGGATTTGGTGTGTGACTGCGAAGGGCCAAGAAATCTACTGCGACCAGTCCATATTATTTTCCCGACGGATTGACCAATCTTTTGAATGGTAGATCCACACAGTTCCCTTAAAAATCATCATACTACATATAAATACATGATAAAACGTTGTTGACACGGAAAATGCCCACTATTTGCCAACAGAATCTCTTCTATTTTTAATCGTCTTTATATCTGGAACATTATGCACAATGACGCATAAAACAGGACTCCCGGAAACACGGTTATTCCAAGTTTTGAGCAAAGCTTTCCCTTTCAGTTCAGCACATTCGCGTAAACAGGAAAAATAACTATCTTACCGCTACAAAATCCATGACTTTTTTAAGTCGGAAGATCAAAAGAGCTGTCAACCCACAAAAAAAAACTCGGCATGAAGTTGAAATTTCAACGGATTTCGGAGTTTGAATCCGGCTGAAAAAAGTAGGTGACTTTGTGAGCAAAAAAATTCTGCAAGATGATCAAAATTTCAAAAAAATCAAATTGGAAATCGCGTAAAATACGACGGTCTTACTCCTTGGAGTTTAAAAATTAAAAAATTGCTGAAGAAAGCTCTTGCAGGCAATGAAAAGTGGAATAAAAAAGGGTTATGGTCTTATCAGCGACAAATATGTAATTTGGACGTGGATCGAATTATCACATTTTCGAAATTTGACGCGTCAAGCTGGCAAAAATACAAAGCATTGCAGTCATAATGGCTATTCATCATAAGAAACAAGTTATGTCACGATTTCCCATAAGCCTTGCTGATTTCCGGTATTAAAAGACACTTCGCGAGTTGCTGAAGCAGGCTCAAAGGGGGTCTGCCCTAGAAATTGACCCCCACTTTTTTTTGTCTTAACTGATGACATGTAGGATGCTAAAGAACATGGTGAATTTTTTTCGAAAAATTTGTCATCATGACCGAGATATGACGTATTTATTGAATTTCGCATAATGTGATATATTGTACTGATTTATTGCCGAAATATCTCAGAACTGCGTATATATACGTTATTGGCCATGCTGAACAACTTTGTAATTGACCCGAAGTTTGTCAGATTACTGTAACATACCGTAACGCCAATGCTCAATCAAAAAATCTCCATTTTTTTCAATAATTTTCTCGGAATTTTTTTTCATTTTTGGAGTCAGCATCAAATTCTGCATCGGATAGGCTATATGCGCATCTCCAGATAGGTGTACAAAAATGTCGTGGCGCAACCGGTAGTGGGTCGGACTACCATTCAAAAGGTCCCGGGTTCGAGTCCGGGTGGAAGCAAAAATGCTCAAACGCGCTGGAAATTGTCCCAAAACAGTTGTAATGTATTGGAACTGTGTTAAAAATAAATAATAATTAACATTTTCCCCTAAAAAGGCTAAATTTTGGATTTTACGAAATTTTTGAAAATCATGATTTTTGTGGGCCCAAATCTGCCGAAGAAATGAAAATTTTTTGTAAGCGATTTTTTTGTTTAGAAACAACACATGGCACATAGAAAGACTATTCCTAAAAGGATTTCGTTCAGTTTTGCCCAAAACACCAAAAAGTTGAACTTTTTCGTTTTAATCGGAGAGCACCGCCGGAACCCAGTAAGCCGAAGTGACGTCATTCCAACGTGGATACACATGTTTTCCACTATGGGGAGTCGAATTTTTAGCAAATTTTACAAGATTGAATACTGTAACATCATGAAATATGTGAATATCTACAAATTTTCAAATGTAAAATTTTTTGTGGAAAATTTTCGCGGCTGTTAGAAGGATATTTGAAAGCAGCGCAAAATACTGCTCTATAAAAGTGGAAACGATTCCGCGTAAGGACTCCTGAAAGTCATTATTTCAATTTTTTTTCAAGTGCCAAAATACGAAATTTTTTTGGTGTGTTGGGCAAAATTGAACGAAATCCTTTGAGGAATAGTCTTTCTATGTGCCATGCGTTGTTTCCAAACAAAAAAATCGCTTACAAAAAATTTTCATTTCTTCGGCAGATTTGGGCCCACAAAAATCATGATTTTCAAAAATTTCGTAAAATCCAAAATTTAGCCTTTTTGGCAACAATGTTAATTATTATCTATTTTAAGCGCAGTTCCAATAGGTTAAAACTGTTTTGGTACAATTTCCAGCGCGTTTGAGCATTTTTGCTTGCACCCGGACTCGAACCCGGGACCTTTTGAATGGTAGTCCGACCCACTACCGGTTGCGCCACGACATTTTTGTACACCTATCTGGAGATGCGCATATAGTCTACCCGATGCAGAATTTGATGCTGATTCCAAAAATGCAAAAAAATTCCGAGAAAATTATTGAAAAAAATCGAGAAAATCGAGATTTATTGATCAAGCATGGGCGTTACGGTATGTTACAGTAACCTGACAAACTTGGGGTCAATTACAAAGTTGTTCAGCATGGCCTATAACGTATGTGTACTCAGTTCTGCGATGTTTCGGCGATAAATTAGCACAATATATCACATTAAACGAAATTCAATAAATGTGTCATATCTCGGTCATGATGACGAATTTTTCAAAAAAAATTCACCAAGTTGTTTATCAGCCTATATGTCATCAGTTGAGACAGAAAAATGTGGGGGTCAAATTCTAGGGCAGACCCTCCTTCCACAACTGGCGAAGTCTCTTTTAAGATTAAACGTGTCATCACGGCGGTCTAAATGAGTGGGCCCCTTAATGTTTGGTACTGCTAAAAAACGCCATCTTTCACACTTCGAAAATTATAGAAGACCTAACTAACGACAAGCCCTCCGGGAAGATAATGGATATTCTTTAACGGTAGAAATAGGAGTGAAACTTGTTATGGAAAAATGAGCGAATATAAATGCTTGGTTTTTGACAACTTTTTATCAAAAAATCTCGTTCATCTTTGCATTGCGTCAGCTACAATGAGGGAACTGATCCAGTAGCAAAAAATGTACTATTTTGCATTCGGGAAGTATAAAAATGTGGCAAAATCCCTTCCTCTCCAACTAAAAAACTCCGCTTTGAAGGGCCTTTTTCCTCACAAAAATAGAGGGTGCGCTTTTTACAAGGAAAGTACTTTTATGGGGGCTCCTACTTTTTGACGGGACATATCTCAAAAAATCAGAAAAAATGTGCTGATCAAGGATATATAAATCCTAGCTGCCCATTTTGGGTTTTTTGGCATGTTTTGGCCGTCGAAAGTTTTGAAATTCGCAAGAGGAAAGAATAAAAGACGATTTGAAAGGCAGGGAAACCAATGAGTGAGTGGCGCAGTTGGTTGCGCAGAAGACTGGGGTTTGTGCGGAGGGGGGTTCGAGTTCCCTTTTGTGATTTTTTTTTATGAGTTTTTTCACTTGGAGAGGGAGACTTTTTGCCACATTTTTGGTACTTCTCGGATTCAAAATGGCACGTTTTTTGCCACTGGATCAGGTCCGCCACTGTAGGAGCCTCGTATCTGTTTTACATAAAATTTAGTCAAATTTATGCTGCATTTCGTCAAAATCAAGGTATCTGAACAAGATATCAAAATAGCATCTGACATGTGAGTTTGCGCTAAAAGTAGAGGGACCAAGATTTATCTCCTTTCATGGTAGATTCTACCGAAAAAATACCCGTTTTAAATACCCCTATATCCCACACCTCCAAATCAACCGCCTATCACGCCACAGGCTATTAGCGCCCATTACTTTTGCCGCAATCCCCCGTCAAGTCGTCGGTGAGAAAACAGTTTTACGAATTACGGAAGCCGGCTACCGAAAGTTTCTGATTTGATCCGCCTAATGGCTAGTATACATTGCTTTTATAGATGCGTTAAGGAAATCGCTACGACTGTTAGATTGGCTGCAATTAGAGAAGGTTATTGGGAGTTGCGTCGTCTGGATATTCTAAATGAACTTTCCAATTAATTAGCTTTGGAAGAGACATATCGCATAACAGACATTATAATTACAAAAGTTTTACTTTCTGTTTTGAAAACGTATTGCATTTTTTCGAAATTTTGGGAGTATTCGTATTCGAGACTCTCAGATTACATTTCCTTTTCAAAAAACTAGTCAACTGCGAATTTCTGGTTGCTAATCTCGATTGAAATCATAAATCTTTGAGATAATTGCAGAAAGGAGGTTTAATTTGCCGAAATAGATTGCGGAAATCATATTTTTGTGTGTACTGGCAGCGAGACGCAATGAAAAATTGGAAAAATTCCCTGCTCGGTAAGGTTTAAAATTCTGATTCCTTCAAATTTCCTAATGCTTGAGTTAGGAAACAACATTGCTTTCTCATAGCGAGTTAAAATTCACTGGCAAGCCTTTACTGTCAAAGGTTTCACAACGAGCTAACAAGGGAAGCACTCCGTGCGACGCTCAGGTTATGATGAGCCTTGGGCCAAATTTTGATTACATTTTTATAAGACATGCGAGATTCTTATGGTCGCGAATTGCGGAAACGACCGAGATTTTTTGGTCAAAACTTGTCCAAATCTTCACGCTTCAAGCGGATTCCCACTGGGAGGGTAGTACTTCCAGAAAAAAGGTTTTTAAAAAGCGTTTTTCTATGTCAGCGCCTCCGATCTGGCTTACTTTCTTGTCCGGAAAGATCGTTGAACATCTTGAATACGTCTGCAAAGCGGCAGCTAAAACTTCCAGGCATCGGTACATGAACTACGCCATCTTTATTTCTAATGTCTTAAATTTCTTTTTGCTCCTTACATCAGTGAGTAATTTCAGCAATATTCCTGTTGGCCCAGAAAGCGTCTTCATACAAACTTGACGGTGTCTTTAGCTCGCCGCCACCGGATGAACTTGTAACTGGCAAGCGGATTGTACTAATTACAGCGTTGTACGAGCGGCCTCAAAGAATGGCTGATTTTACAATGTAAGGTGATTTTCCTAGCTGTCGTAATTTCATGTCCGATGTAGAATATATGTATGTACCAGTGTATGTCAGTCTGTCTGGAAAATAGTCAGCCCTCTGTCGCATAGAAAGTTGCATTGCCGCCGAGAAAATGAATTGCGTCGTGCCAAAATCAAATTGCTTTTTACTTCAGCGACGCGATTGACGCAGCGGCGTAATACTCATTATTTTTCCGACAGACTGACTTTAATGTTTTTATTCGAGGATCATCCTAAATTTCCTCCAGGCTTATCCACACAATGGCGCACATGAAAAATGCATACTGGATTGTGGTCGAGGACGGGAATCGCACAAAACCAGCGATCAAAAGGCTCCTTGAACGTGTAAAAATTCCAACCGTCTACTTGCACAGCGAAGATCCGAGTGTTCCATGTAAGAATTTTCTTTTCTTTTGAGCACGTAAAATATGAACAGAGAGCGGAACTTCGAAGTATTTTAGGTCACGACTGGGCTCCTCGCAACAAGGCCTTGGAATACATTCGAAAAAACAAGAGACTGTTCAACAGTGACGACGTTGTTTATTTCCTCGATTCGGAAAACAGTGTGGATCTTCAGTTGTTTGACAAGTTTGCGCGGAAGGTCGAGAAAATGGGAGTTTGGGCTGCAGGTAATACATGCAATGCAAGATTGCAAAATTCACAAATGAATTACTTTGAGTGCGAAGCTGACATCTTGACTAAACTTGGAAAAAAATAGATTCAATTTCCCTAAGGCAGATACGGGATTACTAGGTCGCGTTTTGCAGACACAACCGAGATTTTTTGGTCGAAATTGGCAAAAATGCAAGAATTTTTGTTCGTATTTTGGCATGACGTTTCATACCTAAATATTTATAATCGAGATATAATAGTAATATTTCCACAAAGAATTTATTTTTTCCACTGAAAACCGGCAAAGATTTGGCCAAAAAGTCCACTTTTAAAAGTGTTTTTCTCTACATTTCTTTGCATACCCTCTCGCCAAATCTCGTTGAATAGCTCGGCTATCGCTGCAAAGCACGGGCTAAAGGTTTCAAGAATCAACGTCTAAACTAGTCAAAGAAAAAACTCTCACTTGGACACCTCTTTTGTATGCTTTCTGTATACCACTAAAGTAAGTACGGTGATATTGTTTGCAGGTTCCGGCTACGTATATGCCGACTCCCAATTAACATTGAAGGGGAAGGTCGTTGGATGGAACACCCCTTGGCGGCCAAAACGAGAGTTTGCACTGGGATTTAGGCAATTTGCCTTGAATATCAAGTACATTACCGAGACCAAGTAAGCTCATATAATATATGATAGTTCACGAAAAAAGGAAGTTAACGAAAAGCAAAAATTTATTGTTCTCTGCCAGACTTTATCGCTGTAATTGTTGAGTCAAGAAACCTTTTACTTTTAAAAGTCTCAAGTCAATTTCAGCGCCCGCCTTGACATGAGGTGTGCCGGCCTTGCAATGGAAGACTGTTTCCTCCGCCAACTCAACATTTCCAAGTCCGACATCCAATCGTTTGGCCATAGCGGAGAAAACAAGCCCATCTACGTGTGGCATCGCCGATCCGTGAACACCGGGCGTGTCACGGAGCTTCCAACGCGTGGCAGTTTCATTGACACCGAAGTCCAAGAACCGCTAGTCTGTACGGCCATCGAACATCGATTGACTGAAGCCACAATGTATCAGGCAATGTTCATTGCGAAGCAACGAAACGACAACTTAACTGGCATCATGCGGGTATCGTAGACATGGAAATCTCCTGTAATTTTTCGTAGTTTGAGATGCCTTCGCTTGAAAGAAGTGGGTTACGTCCTTGTGAATAAATTTGTCTTACCGATTTCGGCGCATCCGCCGGTGTGTTGGGAGGAAACGGGAAGAATCAAGCCGAGATTTGTCGTTGATAACTCACTCATTCGTCAAGTCGCGAGATTTTGCGAAATTGTCGGGAGCTTTGTGTTGAAGATGACGTGATTCAATGAAAATACGAAGTCGAGGCGTCGGATTTGCCCATAATTACGCTTATTAGTCTGTTGGGAAAAAATGGGCATGTCGCTGCGCCAATAGCGTCGCTGAATTGAAAAGCAATTTGACACAAGCCATTTTTTCGATCATGCAATTTTCGATGCTACAAAAGGCTCAGTATTTTCCCGACAGACTGATACAACGGCTTAATAGTCTAAGTGTTGATCTCTGAAGGTTTCAGCTTCCCGTTAAAGGCAAGGCGTACAACAAACTTTGCAGCGGCCAGAACTTATTGGACATGATGTCTCGTGTCTTGCTTTGCATTGCTCCATTATCAGCCCCATTTAGGCCGTCCCAATGTCATCAGCGCTTTGCAAGCCCTCCTTAATGCTGCTGCGTCAACCGACCGCTGGAATCTCCCAATCCTCCATTTCTATGAGCTGAGCAGCACTTGTATCTTAGAGATTACGCCCTTCCAATTTAATGCCGCGAAACTTACCTCCGCGCAACTCCGAGACAACTTTTTTTGCGTACCTGTGGATCAGATAACAGTCTTGTCGGCGGAGATTATCGACCTTTGCTTTCTACGTTGCCGTTGACTGAATCTTCCTCATTTTTTACCTTAAAAATTTTGAACCTACCAAATGTCGACGGTCTCCTTGTTGAGTCGAAAATGCGGGCGATGCCGGAGACATGGTGTTCTGAACAATTTCACAGGACATCAAGGAAACTGTCCGTTCTATGATTGCACTTGTGAGAAGGTAGGTTGCAGCGCTTTGTGAATAGGGGCACATTGGGAGATCTTGAATTTTGATGCCGTCTGGAGCAAGAGCGGTATAACAAGGGAAGTGCCACAAGTGCGACGCTGTGGTTTTGATGAAAAATATAGAGTAATTTTTTCTATCCTTGCTCGAGTTTTGCAGAAACGACCAAAATTTGGAGGTCGAAAGTTGGCAAAAATCTGAAGCTTTCTGCAATTTTTCGCATGAAAATGTGTGGTACATTCACAAAAAAATTGTTTTTTCCGCAAAAAACCAGCAAAGGTACGACCAAGATATTGAAAGACCTTTGCCGCCGAGAGAGTACGCGAAACACGAAGAGCGGGCAGAGGGAAAAACATCTTTTGGTCATAACTTTGCTAGTTCCGTGCGGAAAAAAAAATGATTTTTTTATGGAAACATTAACCTCTATGGTCGAAATAGGCACGAAACTTTTCGTGCCGAAATTCGGCAAAAGGTGTCAAATTTTCGCCCACTTTCGGTCTGAAATGTCGGTTGTTTCTGCAAAACGCGAGCTAGGACTCTGGCATATATCTTAGAAAAAATTATTTTAAATTTGTGCCAAGTTTCATCAAAATCTGAGCATCGCACTTGGAGTACTTCCCCTGTAAGATAGCTGTAGTAAAAAAGAAATCTCCGTATTACAATAGCAATCGCATCTACATTCCAGTGCGCCTTTTCAACTCGTCGACCACGAGCGAAGAAGGTCAAAGCTCCAGCTCAAAGTCCTGTCGCCAATCCGAATCAAGCGTCATGCTCAAACACCTCCAACAACCCCATCGTCAACAACATCGGCGACGACGTTTGCGTGTTGACCTCATCGGAGCCTCTGTCCTCGGTAACGGACCTCCTTCAGCAACCCAGCTTCAACCCCAACAGCGGCAATCCTTTCGGCATTACGACCACTGCGCAGCAACGAAGTTTAGAAGGCCCCATGAATATTCAATGTCCTCAAATCATCATGATCAAGCCCATACCTCTTTCAGCGTTTGACATCGATCCAAAAGTCATTGAATTCAGCCCGCTGCAAAAGTTTTTGGACAACCAGCTGAAATGGTGTCGAGAAAATTTCCCCGAAATTTATTATCAACATATCCCAAAGGGTGATTAGGGAAAACAAGGGAAGTTTTTGAGGTGCGGCAAAGAGAGCTGGTCGAAAATTGACTTAAATATAGGGTATAATTTTCTAATTCGTATGGAAGGATTCTAGCTATCAGAAGTTCCCCAAAAACTATTACTTTTTTATGATTTTCGGTATACAAATTTCATGCTTTATTGCTGTTACAATTGTCAGTCTATCGGGAAGATAATGAGCCCTCTGTCGCATCGAAAACCGCATCGCCGCCGATAAAATGAATTTCGCTTTAGCGATGCAATCGGCACACGTTGTGCTCATTATTTCCCCGACAGACTGAAAAGTAACAGGCAAAAATTCAGTAAATTCCCACCTGAAAGACTTCCTTTGCAAGCTATGTAAGTTTACTATGATAAATGTCTAATATAAATATCTAAAAAAATGAAAAGAATAAACTGTTTTTCTAATCAAAAAAATATGTTTTATCACAATTCCTTTTATCAATTTGTACTCCCGTCAATTCTCTTGGATATTTTCAATTTTGTGGTCGTCCAATCCAAGCAGTTTTAAGGTCTCTTCGTCGAGGATGTCATACAGCGGGTCGTGAAGTAAGGCTTGTTGAACAAAGAAGAGACAAATATCCGAGATTATTTCGGCATTTCGGCTGCGCTTTTGCTGAAATTGCAAAGGTCATTCAAGTTGTGGAGTCTGCATTAACGTGTGATGCCGCTAGTTCAAGTATAGGTCGTGTTAGGAGACTGAACCCCCCATGACTGAACCCCCTTGACTGAACCCACCCAACCCCTCAGAAAGGAACCCCCCTGACTGAACCCCCCTGACAGAACCCCCCTCTAAAGCGAAATTTCGTGCACCCCCGATGAGGGAACGGCCAAAGTGAAATAATCTAGCCAAATCCAATAAATTATGGCTTTTTTTTATTATTTTTTTTTCAATTTGGCCACAGAACAATATTTTTTCAATTTGGCCACATTTTTTTTCAATTTGGCCACAATTTTTTCAATTCGACCAAAAGGCAATATTTTTTCAATTTGGCAATATTTTTTTCAATTTGGCCACATTTTTTTCAATTCGGCCACATTTTTTTCAATTCGGCCACATTTTTTTCAATTTGGCCACATTTTTTTCACTTTCATATATTTTTTTTTTCAATTTGGCCATATTTTAGTAGGTTGTCCAGAAAGCTCGTTTGTTTTTTTCATTGCTTTGTTTTACAAGGATTGTTTGTCGTTTAGCAAAGGTTTTCAAAAAAACTAAAACACAGTTTTGTAGAGGAGAAAAAGCTGTATCAAATAAATATATTCCCTTTTCCAAAGAAGAAACAATCCTTGTAAAACAAAGCAATGAAAAAAGTGAACGAACTTTCTGGACGGCCTAGAATTAGCTCATAAAAAGAAGGAGACAAGCAAACTTTTCCTTGCAAAGATATAGCCAAAAGGTGCCCTTGTTCTTCTCACTGCCCTCGGGGTTTTACCAACTCTTTTAGCCACAAAGATCGTGCAACGCTCAGATTTTTTTGTTTGCAGACAGAGGACATATATCAAATATTAATTCTTGAAAATTTTGGCTGACGCTTTGCAGGGCAGCCAACATTTTTTTTTGGAGCTGAGAGAGTACGGCCATAGAGAAAACCACTTTTTGGCCTCCGCCGGTTTCATACGGAAAAAAGTATTTTTTTGTAGAAAAAATACGTTCTACGGTAAAAGATATAAAACTTTTCGTGCCGAAATTCGCCAAAAATTGTTTCATTTATGCCAAGTTCCGATCTAAAAATTTCGGTCGTTCCTGCAAACCGCGAGTTAAAATTTCCGTCAATTTTTTCTTTGTAGTCTCAGATGCCTTATTGTTGGGAAAAATTATTCTCCAAAAATGCCAAGTTTTATCAAAATCTGAGCGTCGCGCTTTGATCATTTCATCTGGCAAACTCCGCTTACATTGATGGGATGATGACGATAGGGAGAGGTGGGATCATTTGTCATGTATTTTTGATTCTCCACCGGGTCAAACGGGTCATATCGAAGCTTTGGTCGGCTTCTCCTTGCGTCATCAACCAGCCGCAAGACTTCGTCGCGAAGAGTGAGCGATGACTGTTGTTTTCGCGACTGCTTTTTCGCCAACCATCGTTCGGTTTGTGGGATATGAAACATTGGCTCTTGAGCGTTCTAAAAATAGTTTGTATTCGAAATCCTCTATGGAGTGTAGTCAGATGCAGTCAGAGTTGTGTGTAAAGACTTGCTACGAATTTTGAGATTGTTGTCTTCAGATACATTTGGTTGTTTCTCGGATGACTGAGAAATTTTGCCCATGGAGCTGTTTTTACGTTCGGTTTTTTCTTGGAGAAAACTTTGTATACTACACATTGTAGTCCCAGTTTTTTTCCGGGAATGCTGGTTTTCGAATCCATAGATCGCTTTCTGGACCGTGCCTTCTCGCTGGTAACGCAATAAGATCAAAAAAGTACTGGAAACTAATTATGATGATATTTTACGTATAGTACTTATAATGCATACTTACTACTCAACAAATATATTCAGAATGAAGCAGGCTTTGTTCACAAATAAGCTGCACTAGTACTAGTGCAGCGTCCAGCTACACTTCTTGCAAATTTTGGCATGAAAAGTTCGAGGAAATATTTTTATCGTACAGTGTAATTTACCCACAAATAAAGCAAACTTTTCCTTGCAAAGATATAGCCAAAAGGTGCCCTTGTTCTTCTCACGGCCCTCGGGGTTTTACCTACTCTTTTAGCCACAAAGATCGTTGAATATGTTTTTTGCGCCTGCAAAGTACGAGCTAGAACATTCAGTAAACTAACTATAAATATGTGGTGTATGCCCGAGGCAAAATTTAAGGGAAATCTGAGCGTCACACTTGGCCCTGCCCTTTAATCTGCTAATCCAAAAAAAACGCTAAAAATTTTTGTTAAAAACAACAGCTGGGAAATCCCATATTCCTCTGGAATGCATGAACAATTGGCCCCAATTATCGTTGAAGTCTTTTACACTAGTCAAACAATGTCCGCAAGTTCAGGGACAAACTATCCGCTGAACTTACCACTTCAGGCTGTAAAAGTGGCGGCTCCTCGGCTCTCGATAAGCCCTCATTACACTTCAGCATCAACCAAAACATCAGCCTTTGGACAGTGGCGTTTATCGTTGCAAATCCATTCTCACTTTTCATCGGCTGCTCAAACATTGGCTCGCCGAAAAGGCCGGGGTTCATCTGCTGCAGCAGTCTGAGGGCTGGGGTTGAATCCATCGCTGTAAAATGAAAATTAAAGATAGAGGAAGTATTTATATTCCATCTCACAACACGACCATCTACTGTAATCCAGTTCTTTGCATCAAAACCCACAGCCAATGAAACCCACCACCGCACGGTTCTTTGTGCCCGCTTCGAGACTGTGTGTGTTTATTCATCGGCGAGATGTTTTTTCCTCGCGTTTGGATAAAGTAGATTATAGTATGCTTTATGTCGAAACTAATTACACTCGACTGTATTACGCCTTAAAGCGGCTGGCACCGGCCGGCACGCGGCCGCCGGCTAGCTCGCTTGTCGAGCAACAAAGACACTTTTTCGTGACATTTCGGAGGCGAATGTTTTCTGCTGCGCACGGGTCAGAGAACCGGGGCCAAATGTAATTATCGAGAGAGAACTCCAGATGTCTGTGCGAAGGCATATGTACATAATAACAGCTTTGGATTACATGTACTGACAGTCAACTATAAACAGTGTATACCGCGCATACTCTAAGCTGAAAGCTTTACATGTTTTACGGTGGGAATGCTCAAAGTGCGGCGCTCAGAGTTGGATGAAACTGGGTACAAAATTAGACTAAAAATTTCTAACAATAAGACATATGTGAGATTGCAAGCGCGCACTTTGCAAAAACAGTTGACATTTTTTAGATTTTAGCTGGCAAAAAAAATTGTTGCAAATTTTGAAATACAGTGTTTAATGCATGTTCCTACTGTATGTAGAAGGTTGTGTTTGTAAAAAAATGACCGTTTTCACCGGAAACTGGTTAATATCCGGCAAGAAAGAGTTTTTTCTCTATCGTTATCCGCGCTCTTTCGGCGACAAAAATCGTTGAACGTCTCGGCAGTCGTTGCAAAGCGCAAACTGAAATTTTTGGGAAATGGCATGATGCCTCTGAATGTATATAAAATGCGTGCGCTAGATTAAAAGCAAATTAATAATTGACAGAAATAAAATAAATATTTCCAGCCTAACTGTACTTATGACGAAAAAGGCATTCACTGAATGAGAAGAGACACCCTTGTTATGCATTCTGCGCTAACATTTGGCACTTGCTGAGTTTTAAATTTCATGTGTTATGTCTAAATTTGACGGTGACGGTTGTAATGTCTTTTTAAATGACCCGCCCACGGCAACCCGAAGTGTTTCCTGGCTCCTTTCGACACTTCGCCCATTTTGTATCGGTTGAAATCAAACAAAATGTCACAAAAGAATTTTTCGTGGGATTTTGCGACCGAAAAATATTTTTCTCGGAATTATTTTATTTCTTTTGTCAATTTTGACACTTCGTTTGGACGAAACTCAAAAGTGGGCGGGAAACATTTTTCTTCTATTTCGGGTTGCCGTGCCGCCCATCTTCTCGGACCGATATCGAGCGGATATCTCGTCAGAGTTCGCTGCCGGCAACGGCGCGAGGGCTCGAGCCCCGGAGCGCTGTGGAGGATGATGGTCCATTGTGGAATGTATTATAAGAATGGACAATAAATATAAACGAAACCTTGGTTAAGGTCACTGGGAATGGCGCCCGTAGGTATCCGTAAGCCAGCAGGTCTGACTTGCGGACTGGAGTGGCAGCAAGTTTTTTGACTCTCTCCCCTCCTCAATACAGGTGCTTTACCAACCCTCAACTTAAACTGTCGAGCACTGTGCGGCCTACAATCGTTTCCAATAGATTCAATTTCTACTAATTTTGCTTCTCATCTTACATTGTGCTTGTATATTGTGTATATTGTGCTTCTTTTTGTCATTTTTCTTACATTGGAAGTACTCCAAGTGCGACGCTCAGATTTTGATGAAACTTGGCACCAATTTAGACTAATTTTTTCTAATATATGCTAGAATCCTAGCTTGCGCTTTGCGGAAACAACCGAGATTTTTAGACCGAAAGTCGGCCAAAATTTAGGACTTTTTGCCGAATTTTGGCACGAAAAGTTTCGTGCCTGTTTCTACCGTAAAGGATAATTTTCCTACAAAAAATCAAATTTTTCCGCACGAAACTGCCAAAGTTATGGCCAAAAAATGTTTTTCTCCCTGACCGCTCTCCACGTTTAGCGTGGTCTCTCGGCGGCAAAAAATCGTTCGATATCTCGACGGCGCCCTCAAAGCGCGAGCTAAAACTTTCAGGAATTGATATTTAGTCCATACCCGACGCGTGTGCAAAATTTGAAGAAAATCTGAGCGTCGCACATGGAGTACTTCCCCTGTAAGTTCGACGCTCAGATTAGTTTTTCCTTCAACTTTGTCAGTTCGAATCGCCCACTTTTAGTCGAACGAAGTCGTACGAAGCCTCACAATACAGTTTTTCGTGATGGTTCTCAATGGAAAACTTTTTTCTTGGCATTATTTTGCTTCTTTTGCCAATCGCGACATTTCGTTTGTACGAACTCCAAAGTGGGCGGGACACATTTTTCTTTTCCTATTTCGGGATGCCCTGCACTCTAACATTAAAACCGGTCATAACAGGAGATACAAAAAACAAAACTACACTGTGAAATACGTACATTGACTGGCGAGATTACAAATTGGCTAATTTGGAGGCTATCTTCGAAAAAATTGCGATTATTTATAACAAACACTGTAATTACGGAAGTCATGCTAAAGTGCATTGTCATTTGCCAAACTAGAACACAATTTGCAACATTCTCGGTTCTGTGAATAAAACCACTACATTTCAGGGCATCATTAGCTACTTTGCAACTGTATTTCCTCGAATTGTACCTGCCTCCAAGACCTTTTCGTAATATTACACCAAATCTGAAGTACAAATTGGCATTTGCTCAAGAGCGAAGCGGTTAAAATCTCCATTGTGCACGCAAATTACACTCCCTTAAACAGTCATACGATACAACGTTTCATTCCGTGATGGGCTTGTTTGTCGCTCGAAGAAAGAAGTCCTGGAACGCGGTGTTCCTCCGTTTGTTTTAAACCGCGTGGATTACCGTATTGGCTTGTGGAAGCCGTGAAATGACACCATAACCGCGGCCGTTCCGGGAACCTCCATAATTTATGTTTTGCGATACGAAACTTCCACATCAGGCTTGCAGGCGGGGTCGGAGACTTGTAACACAACACCGCGATCCATGTGAAGTTGATGTTTGTGCTTTTATGGACTATGTCTGATACTTGTTTTATATAATTTGGTCGTCTAGGACAGGCCCGTGAATTCTTTTTTTGGAAATCAAGTGGGTCTGTAGCTAACTAGACGCCTACTCGATTGAATTCCAGCGGATTTTGCGAAACCTTGAGTCCATTTTCTTCCTAGGACGTACAGAAATTTGCCATCTTTTTACAAGGAAAGGACCCTAAACGACTCTCCGATTTTAGATTTTGGGTAAAAGTTCCTTATTCTGGCCACAACTTATAACTTTGCGGAAACTGGTCGGAATTAGCCCAAATTTAGCGTGCACGCTCAATTCATCGTTGTCAATGCCCGGACAGTGGATTTAGTTAGTGAGGTACCTTCTTTTTTACGTACCGCCTTACCCTTCAAAAACGGCTGCAGCCTGTGATTTTACACTTCATACGATGAAACATGTCCGGAACTAAACTTATTGCCTCCGTACGGAACTAAATGAGTCGTCACAGCCTTCGTAGGTACCCTTAAAACTATAAAGCTATTATAGTAATTCAGCGCCAGCTAGGTCAAAGCGTTTTTTCCTAACTTTAGTGCCCAAGCTTGGGCGCAGTTCGCGGAGTACCTTTGTTGTGGCCAAAATAAGGAACTTTTTCCAGATTTTGTCCCCATTTGGGGCCGGGATCACACATCAATTCATCAATTCCCAAAATTTTAGCGCGCTGGCCAAGATATTCAATAATCCTTGCGGGCGAGAGATTACGCTAAATGCGGAGTGTGGTGAGAGATAAAGATGATGTTTGGCCATATCGTTTCAATTTCTTCATGAAAAAACTGATTTTTTTAAAGAAATTTTAACCTATGCGTATGGGATAGAAATGGCTATAGAACTTTTCACGCCAACAGTCAAGAGAATTCTACCTTTTGCCACGTTTCTACGTACAGTGACGGACCTGGCCCAGTGGCAAAAAACGTGCCATTTTTCTTCCGGGAGGTATCAAAAATGTGGCAAAATGCTTCCCTCTCCAATGAGAAAACTTCGTTTTGAAGGGCGGATCTGTTCCCCCACCAAAAGAGCGAGCACGCTTTTGAAATCGGATTTTTTTTCAATTGGAGAGGGAGGTATTTTGCTGCATTTTTGATACTTCCCGAATGCAAAGTGGGATCTTCTTTGCCATTGGATAAGGGCCCCCACTGTTATGTTCAAACTCTGAGCGTCACACTTCAGGCAATTTGGCTGGTATAGCTATAGAAATGGAGCAGCTAAAAATGTGTCATTTTAATGCTGTAGACCGCGTCAAAATGACATATAATACTTATTTATTTCCCGTTCTTCAGCTGGAGGAAGAGTCTCGAACTTCAAGCATCTTCTAACCTGAAAACGCCGACAGGTTTTTTCCGAGGAGGAAGGAAGAGATTTGCATAATGTTTAGGACAAAGGTTAAGGCAAATGTTATACCATTTATCACTCATATTTTTAGTAGTCTTTCGGGATTATCTTTTTCTTGCAAGCTATGAAAAAAATGTCTAGCAGGCCGACATTCAGACTACCATATCCAATTACCCAAGTCCCGGCCATGTCATGGCCAGATTAAAAAGTTATACCAATTCCAAAGACATTTCCACATTTAACTCGTCAAATTGCCCTTGATTTCGGCAAGGGCAAAGTCTAGAACAACTGTCCATTTCTTTATTACATATTGCAGATATATGTAAATTTGGTCTTTGATGTTTTGGATAATGAATTCCGAGAAAACCCGTCCGGATTTAGCCGCCATTTCCCGTCGACAAGTGGAAAAACCGTGGGCTTACGGTAATCGCTTTGCGAGGGAAGTAAAACGCAACAGATTTTGATGAAACTTGGGACAAATTAGAACAATTTTTTTTTGATACAATGTATGGTAGACTACTAGATTTGCTTATTGCAGAGATCACCAAAATTTGAAAATCAAAAGTTGAAAAAAATATTACACTTTTTTGTGAGTTTTTGCGAACATTCTACGCATACCTTTAGTGTAGATGGTAACGCTTAGAGCAAAAAAATCCATTTTTCAGCTAAAACTGACAAAAAATAGGGCCAAGAAATGT